CAATCTATCATTGCATCCCTACTCCGGATCCCTGCCTGAGTATTGTATCCCCAGTTAGGTTCCTGGTCCGGGACAGCTTGGGCAGCTGACTGGTTAGTGCCAGGGTTCTGGGTATGCAGCTGATCTGCATACTTACGGGCCTCCTCCCAGATCCGCTGTTTCTCGTCTGGGGAACAGCAGGTGGTCAGAATTATGTACAAATCCCTCCACAACATACTAAATGCTAGAGTAAGAGTCTGGAAATTACTAGTGAAACGTGAAGGGTCCTCTGAAAAACTCCCTAGCCTGTCTTTACATTGTTGTAAATCAGTTATAGAGAATGGCACTTGTACCCTTATAGCACCTTCAGGGCCTGCTACCTCCCTCAAGGGTAGGAGTGCAGGAGTGGTAGGGAGATAAGAAGCGCCACTTCTAGTATGTCCTGCAGGGCTGGGTTTTTCCTCAGCTGGTGGCTTTAGGTTATCCATAGCATAAGGTGGTGGAGAGGTCGCTCCCTCTAAGGTAGGGGCAGAGACTTCAGAACTCTGGGGTTCCCTTAATCTCCCTTGAGAGACAGGTGGGGAGCTAAGGAGGGTATCTTCTAATTGATCAACACTTGGGCCTGTAGGTTTTGTCAAGGTGGAGCTGGAACAAAATGAGGGATCTCGGTACAGAGCCATAAACGCCTGCATGTAAGGAACTTCAGACCATTTGCTTTCCCTCCGGCAGAATAGATCTAGCTGTAGGATAGTATTATAATTTGTGCTCCCATTCTCAGGCCATATCTCTCCACCCCCTAATTTATACTGGGGCCAAACAGTGTTACAAAAGAAAACTAATCTCTTCTTTTTTTTAAACTTTTTGGGTCAAATTTATCCCAGTTGCTAAGAATGCAACCCAATGGTGATTTGGAAGGGATGGAAGATGTAGTTCCCATCTCGACTGCGGTGATCCTAAGAGAAAAGAAACACAAAGATACTCCTTTGCAGACTAGAGGCGTCCCTCTCTTTGCTGCCCTTAGGAGATTCCTAGTGGGCCATGGGTGTCCCCTGGGATCCCACCGAACTACCAGACGTCTCTGGCGAAAGAAATCCTAGTGAGTGTCGGCCGACAGAAATCAAAAAGACTTGAGAGAATCACCACAGTCTACTTTTGTCTCTAACTATTGGGAAGGAACCAGTCCTGCATTCTTGAGCAATTGCCTATAATCCTGAAAATCCCAGACTCTACCCTTGTGGCCCTAGTACATTTCCATTTCTGTGTTCTTCATCTACGGGGACCCTCATTTTCCTGTAAGCTTTAAGATCTGGGGCAAAGGAAGTGTCTTACTAGAAAAATAATTTCTGGCCCTGTAAACCATTCAGAGGAGCACCAAGATGATCTTATTATAAAATGACTCTTTTTCAGATCACAAAGAAGACCCTTAAATATTCCATGTAACTTTCCAGAGCTTTAAGAAATTGTACCTGCGTCTGAAATCTCCCAGAAGGGACCTCAAGCGATGTCTAAAACACCACCCTTCATACTGGAGGCGGATCTCATGGAGGGACAATGAACTGAGAGGGGAAATTAAAATACCCTTATAGAAACAAGTAAACCACCTTAGAATTCCAAATTCAATTGATTAGGTAAGAGTGGCTCTACGCAGCCATTCTAGTAACCAGCGACCAGCAGGCACCTGTTGTGCAGTTCTGAGCGATGTTGCTGCTTACAATGATAGTATACACGTGGCAAACATGGGAGTGGCTCATTCCTGCAACTGTACTTAGCGCTAGCCTAACAATGACCCCAAGGTAGATATCTTAGTACAAAGACAGCAGGAACCCTTCATACATAAAAAGGCAAGTGGGGTGTGAGTGAAGGTATAAAGATCAGAAGTCAGTTGGGGAGGAAAAGCATAAAAGACTGTCCGTGGGCCTGATGAAAAGACTGCAAAAGGAAGTCATAGCGCAGGTGAGGTGGTGACTGATATCCCGCATGGAAGGTCCGACTATGCCTACTGGGGGAGTGGCCGCGGGGGTGGGGGCAGTGTTTTGTGCTTTCCACAGTGTGCCTGACCGTTGTGCAGACATTTTCTTGTACCTGGCGGGGACTAAGGCTAACCCCATTCCGCATCCAAGTTATCCTATCACAGGAGTCTTCAAGTGGCGGGCGCCCTTGTGGCTTTTAACTGCCCGACCTGTGCCCGCAAATTAGCAGCCGACCTTCCATCACGGAACATCAGAGTCACCGAAACAGAATAGGTGATAACGGAAAAGGGCATCCCGGGTGTCAGAGCAGCAAAGGAGGCTTACCACTCCGGTGTCTTCTCCTAAGCTGGCTCGCCAAAAACTCGCACAGGTGTGCACAGGTGTGCACAGGTAACCAGGTTCTTAGTGATCGAGGACAAAGAATTGAACCGAACACACAAAGTTTATAGCATAAAGAAAGATGGGAGGTTTATTAAGTGATAGTACATACCACAGGACACAGGAGTGAGCCAGCTCTGAGCCGAGGAAAAAAGGGACACATGGGCTGGGGGATTCTATTCTTATAGGAGCAGAAGACCCCCTGCTAGTCTTTGGCGGGCTTTTTCTGCGCAGGTACAAGGAGTTGGATTTCAAAGCTACTGCGCATGTGTGGTTTCCCATGACTTTCTTGATTGGCTACTGGAGAAGGGAGTCCCACAATGTTATTTCATTATAATGATATTATAATGAATCAGGGGTAGTGCACAGGTGCATTCTGTGATTCAGAGTTATCCCAGAAAACAGGAACAACCCGTCTTAGGGGGTCTTTGTCATGTATAGGTGTTTTCTACCTCAGCCCTGTGGGGCCTCTGGAGCTTTCTTCCTGACTACCTCCTGCCTCAGTTCTATTTTGTTCTTTAGTTTATTTTGTTGATTAGATTCCACATATAAGTGAGATCATATGGTATTTGTCTTTCTCTGACTGGCTTATTTCACTGAGCATAATATGCACCCACCAGTTCCATCCATACTGTTGCATAGGGTAAGAATTCCTTTTTTTTTTTAACTACCATGTAGTGTTCCATTGTGTGACCATACCACACCTTTTTTATCCACTCATCTACTGATGGGCACCTGGGCTGTTTCCAGATCTTGGCTATTGTAAATAATGCTGCTATAAACATAGAGGCAAATATAGTCTTTTGAACTGGTATTTCAAGTTTCTTCAGATATATCCCCAGAAGTGGGATCACTGGGTCATAAGGCAGTTCCATTCCTAATTTTCTGAGAAAACTCCATACTGTTTTTCTCAGTGGCTGCACAGGTCTGCATTCCCACCCACAGTGCACTAGGGTTCCCTTTTCTCCACATCCTCGCCAGCACTGGTTGTTTGTTGATTTATTGATGAGAGCCTTTCTGGCAGGTGGGAGGGGCTATCTCTTTGCCTTTTGAGGAAGAAAGGGAGATGGGAAGGGAAGATCACAGTTGCCTGTTAATATGAGAGGAAATGCCTGTTAGAAAAATGTCCTTTCTCATAAACCTGCATGAAACTTTAGGCTGCTGTCAAACAAAACAGTAACAGAGGGATAGACATATGGACCAGACTGACAACTGTCAGAAGGGAGAGGAGCTGAATGAAAGAAGGTGAAAGGATTTAGTAAAAAAAAAACATGCATATAAAACACATAGACACAGACAACAGTGTGGTGATGGCCAGAGGGAAAGGGAGTGGGGACAGGTGGAGGGGACAAAAGGGAGGAATATGAGAACAGAAAGAAACGTTATTGGGGTGATGGGCACACCATGCAGTGAGCAGATGATGTTTTGTTGAGTTGTACACTTGAAACCTGAATGGTTTTGTAAACCAATGTTACCCCAATAAATTCAATAATAAATCAGTCAATCAATAAACTTGAGGCAGCTCATGAATACCTTGAAATGTTAGGTAGTTTTTCCTCTCTCACTTAGGTCTTTGGCCCATTTTGAGTTAGTTTTTGTGTAAAATATGAGCCATTGATGTGAAACTTTTAGGATAGAATAATTCACGGAGACAGGTGGTTCCCCAGGGCTGGGAGAGGGGAGAATGGGGAGCTGCTGCTGAATGGATATGGGGTTTCCTTCTGAGGGGAGGTGAAAATGTCTGGAACAAGACGGAGGTGATGGCCACACTGCACTGGGAATGTCACTAAATGTCACTGAAGTGCCAGGCTGCGAAAGACAACCACCATATAATCTCACCTATATCAGGAACCTAATGAGCAAAACAAACAAACAAGAAAAATAGAGCCAGAGGCATGGGAACAAGGAACAGACTGACGGGGACCCGATGAGGGGGAGGGGATAAGGAAGGAAAGAAAAGGAATAGTCAAAGAACACATATGAATGACCCATGGACAGCAGGGTGGGACTGACTATGGGTGCTAGTGGGTGGGGGGTGAGCAGGAGAGAGCAATGGGGGAAAATTAGGATAACTAATAGAACAAGTTTTTTTAAATGGTTAATGGTTAATCTTATGTGAATGGTTTTTTCCTTGTTTCACTCTCTGGGCTGTAATTTTTTATTACATTTATTGGAGTGACATTGGTGAATAAGATGATATAGGTTTTGGCATGCATTTCTACAAGACATGATCAGTTGTGTGAATTTTAAGAAAAACATGTATATCCTTTCATGTGAACAAAAAGCTTGAGTGATCAATAGGGTTTGTTCCAAACCCCAATACAAATAGAACTGTTGCTGGCATTGGGATTCTTGGGTTCCCGAGATGGAAATTGAGAGGGGAAAAACAGAGACACTTCCAGACAGACTTTATGAAGCTTGTGCTCAATCCCAAGGGAGGCAGCACCAAAGACAGAAATGTCCTCTGACCTGCTCTGGGGCTGGCTCTGCTTGGTCAGAAGTCAGGGTTGGGGAGCTGCTTCTTAAAGTACCAGGTTAGGTAGTGAGACTACACCAGTTCCTGGCACAGAGGCAACCAGTGTTTGAGATAAGAGAGCTGATCTGCTGTCTCTTTCCCTATCTTCCCTTGATTCTTCTTTCATGCCAAAGGCTCAGATATCACACTTAGGACAAATGATACCTTCTGCACAGCTGGGTTTCAACCTGCAGCCTCTTCTGGAACAACTCAACCAGGATGAATTGAACAAATTTAAGTCTCTGTTGAGGACCATTTCCCCCCAAGATGAGTTACAGCACATTCCCCAGATGGAGATAGAAGAGGCCAATGGAAAACAACTGGCAGAAATTCTCACCAGCAGCTTTCCCCACTGTTGGGTGGAGAAGGTGACCATCCAGGTCTTTGACAAGATGAATCAGACAGATCTGTCTAAGAGAGCAAAGGATGAACTCCAAGGTGAGCAGACTGTGTCCCAGGAAGAAGGAGTAATAGCATCCAGGGATGAGAAACACAGAAATGACGTTCTGAATTCAACTGTCCTGAACTGCTGCCTGTCCTGAATAGACATGCTAGACCTTCCCAAAGACTGGTGGTGTCTTTTCCGGTTCTTTATTTTTAAAGATTTTATTTATTTTCAGAGAGAGGGGAAGGGAGGGAGAAAGAGAGGGAGAGAAACATCAATGTGTGGTTGCCTCTCAAGCACCCCCTCCTGAGGACCTGGCCCACAACCCAGGCATGTGCCCTGACTGGGAATCAAACTGGCAACCCTTTGGTTCGCAGAACAGCACTACATCCAGTGAGCCACACCAGCCTGGGCTTTCCTGGTTCTTTCTTATATTCTAGCTATTTCCACTCTTTCCGGGTACTGAATACCTACCCTGGACTCCTCACCATGTTACATCCCTTCTCCCATTCCAGAGTGTTTCTGAAATGTATTCATGGTATCCTCTCATATGTCCTCCAAGATGCTGAATTACCACCTACCCTCTGTTTCGTTTGCAGTTCCTACTTATCATGTTTCCTTCCAACACAGAATGTCTATAAACACCCACCCACTCGCACAAAGCCTCACCTCCCTTCAGATTGGCAGCATTTGGAGCTGGGGAATTCCTTTCTGGGGATGCATTATAGGATAGTTAGCAGCAGCCCTGGTACTCCCATGCTAGTGTCCCAATACCTTTACCCTTGACATTTGTAGCCCACTCTCCCCACTGGTGACAACAAAAACTGTCTCTCCACATGGCCAAATGTCCCCCTTTGGGGTTCTCCTGAGTGGAGAACCACATCTTATGTCAGGGGTCACTAACTGCACCTGTCCTTGGCAATATCCTGGGGAACTTTAAATATACTGATATCGAGAAACTATCGCTGGAGATACTGACTTAACTCACTGATCTATGTCTCCCCCTAGGCATGGAATTGTTTTTTCAACTTTATTTTTTAATGATAGTTTACATTCGATGCTACTTGGTATTAGTTTCAGGTGTTCAGCAGTGTGGTAAGATATTCGTATACCTTATGAAGTGATCCCCCTAATAATTCTAGTACCCATCTGACACTATCCATAGTTATTACACTATTATTGACTATATTCCCTGTGCTGTATTTTATATCCCTGTATTTTGTAACTGCCAGTACATACCTCTCAATCCTTTCACCTTTTTTATCCAGTCCCCCAACTTTCCTCCCCTCTGGTGACCATCAGCCCATTCTCTGTATCTGTGAGTCTGTTACTGCTTTATTTGTTTATTTATTTTGTTCATCAACTCCTCCATATAAGTGAAATCCTATGATATTTGTCTTTCTCTGTCTGAATTATTTCCCTTAGCACAATACCCTTTAGGTCCATCCATGTGGTCACAAATGGCAAGATTTCATTCTTTTTTGTGGCTGAGTAATATTCTATTGTGTATATAGTACACCTATTTTGTGTTAAGTTCACTTTAACTTTCTATTTTTCAGGGCTCACACAAGTACAGGGCAAAGGTGCCACACACCCAGAAGAAGTAAAAGAAAGTTTGGAAGGAGAAAAACCAGGTCTGTGTGATATTTTCCTCACTGAGCTGGGTGTCAGGTAGCTATTTATAACCCTCTCCATTTGTTTTTTCCTTTCCTGCTTAACACAAAGCACTTTCTTCCTGATGATTAACCAGCTCCATCTGTCTACCTCCTGTCTCATGTTACTGAAGATGAAGGGGAGGAACACAGAAGTGGAGTGAAGGCAATCGGGCAAACCTTGAAGGAAAACTACTGGCCGGAAGTCAGATCCCATGAATTCACCCAGAGATATGAGAGGCTGAAAACTTTCTGTAACCCGGAGACGCTCCCAGGGCCGTTTCCATACACAGTGGTGCTGCACGGCCCTGCAGGCATTGGGAAGACTACACTGGCCAAGAAGTGGATGCTTGAGTGGACACAGGATGAGCTCCCCAAGACGCTCAAGTTCGCCTTCTATCTCAGATGCAAGGAGATGAACCACCAGGGGACCTGCACATTTGCAGAGCTGCTGTCTAAGACCAGACTGGATGTGCAGGAGGCCAAGATCCCAGACCAAGGCCAGAACATCCTATTTGTCATCGATGGCTTCGATGAGCTAAGGATCCCCTTGGAGTCACTCATCCACTACATCTGTGGTGACTGGAAAAAGCAGAAGCCAGTGCCCATCCTGCTGGCCAGTCTGCTGAAGAGGAAACTGCTCCCCAAGGCCACGTTGCTGGTCACCACACGCCCGGGGTCCCTGAGAGAGCTCCGACTCCTGGCTGAGCAGCCTATCCTCATAGAGGTGGAGGGGTTCTCGGAGCTGAGCAGGAGGGACTACTTCCTGAAGCACTTTGAGCAAGAGGACCAAGCCCTGCGAGCTTTTGAGGCCATGAGGAGCAACCCGGCTTTGTTCCACATGGGCTGCATGCCCCCTGTGTGCTGGGTCACCTGCACGTGCCTGAGCCGGCAGATGGAGCAAGGACAAGACCCTGCCACCACCTGCCAGACCACCACCTCACTCTTCCTGCATTTCCTGTGTAGCCAATTCACGCCAGTCCCTGCCAACTGCCCCCGAGAGCCCCTGGCAGCTGCACTGAGGGCAGTGTGTCTCCTGGCTGCTGGGGGCCTCTGGGCGCAGACATCCGTGTTGGATGGAGAAGATCTCAAGAGGCTGGGGCTCCAGGAGTCCAACCTCCAGCCTTTCCTGGACAAGAACATCCTCCAGGAGGACACACACTGTGAGGGCTGCTACACCTTCGTCCACCTCAGTGTCCAGGAGCTTCTGGCTGCTGTGTTCTACATTCTGGACAGCGAGGAGCAGAAAGATGAGGCCAGCTGCAGGCTGGACATCGGGGACCTGCAGACGGTGCTCTCGAAGGAAGAAAAACTGAAGAACCCCAACCTGGCGCACTTGAGATACTTCTTATTCGGCCTCTCCAATGAGCAGAGAGCCAGGGAGCTGGAGACGACCTTCGGTTGCCCAGTGCGGCCTGGGATCAAGCAGGAGCTACTGACGTCATTGTCTGAAGGGACTGATCCCTTCTCCTCAACCACGGATGTGAAGGAGGTGCTGTACTGTCTCTACGAATCTCAGGAGGAGATGCTTGTGAAGGAGGCCACGGCCCACACCAGGGAAATGTGCCTGCATTTGCAAAACAAAGTGGACCTTGTGCACTCAGCGTTCTGTCTCCAGCACTGTCAGAACTTGGAGACGATTTCGCTGCAGGTGGAGAAGGGGATATTCCTGGAGAATGAGGAAGCCTCAGAATCACACGTGTGGGAGGAGAGGTAAGAACTGCCCCCTCTTACTCTCCTTTTCTCCACCTTTAGCCTCCTCCAGGTTCCATTGGAGAAGACGGTAGCCTGCTCTGTGGGGTTTAAAGTCAGTCTTTTCTTCTTGCTGGAATTTCTTCCCACCAGCTCATCATTCAAGACAGATACTATGGTGTTCAGATTAGGAATGGGGGCTTTGGAACCCAAGTTTGTTTGGCAACCTTTCTTTGAGCAATTTTTTCAAGTCAGTCAACTTGTTTTAGCCTTCCTGTCGGTATGTAGATTTCAGGAGCTGTCTGAAGTGACTGTCCCATTTTTGGAATGACTGCCTGTGAAATAAACAAAGATTTGTCCTCAGGGGTTGAAACAGGGCTCTGAAAGTTACACCTCATCCATAATCAAGGAAGTTCTCTTCCCAGACACCTTGGACAGACTTAGAATGTGAGATAGACAGTCAGTTCTGAGCCTGGTATTCTTTTTTTTTTTTTCAGTTTTTTCTTGTTCAATTACAGTTGTCCCCATTTTTCCCCCATTACTCTCCACTGCCCTACCCACCACCCACCTTCCATTTTCAATCCTCTCCCCCACCCCATTGTCTTTGCCCATGGGTCCTTAATATATGTTCCCTTTTTAAAATATTTTTTAAGATTTTATTTATTTATCTTTAGAAACAAGAGAAGGGAAGTAGAAAGGGGGAGAAAAACATTGATGTCTGGTTGCCTCTTGCATGCCCCCTACTGGAGACCTGGCCTACAACCCACGCATGTGCCCTGACTGGGAATCGAACCAATGATCCTTTGTTTCCCAGGCCCACTCTCAATCCACTGAGCCACACCAGCCAGAGCCCTTTATACATGCTCCTTGACTTGACCCTTCCCCTTCTTTCCCTTGTTATCTCCCTCCCCTGACCTCCACCGTTACTGTCAGTTTGTTCTTTATTTCCATGTTTCTGGTTCTATTTTGCTCACTTGTTTGTTTTGTCGATTAGGTTCCACTTATAGGTGAGATCATATGGGATTTGTCTTATACCACCACCTGGTTTATTTCTTGATTTAGACTCAAGTAACAGCCTCAGAGCTCAGATAGAATTTCCAAACACTGCTTCTAACCTGGCAGCTACTCGAAACATGTAATCTTCCATGTTGAGATGGAGACACTGGCCTCAGAAAAGAGTGCTTGACTTGGATTAAGACTCAAGTCTATTTACTGTCCTGTGACCACAATTCAAAATCAGTACCTCATGGTGCTGGGTAGAGTCCCCCAGCACGATAACATCTTATCGACATCTTATCGACCCACCTCTTCCACACCCTAGGTTGTTATCCAAAATCCTCATGCATAGTTATTGGGCCAGAACAAAATGCCCTCATTTCTTTCCTGGTGCAGGTACCTGTTTTCCATATTTCCTGAACATTCTCTCACATTTCTTCCTCACTCAGCTGAGAGTCATAAACTTGCAGTACCACCAGGGAGCATTAAGACCATGATAGTTTGCCCTGGCTGGGTGGCTCAGTTGGTTGGAGCATCATCTTGTATACCAAAAGGTTGTGATTTTGATCCCTGGTCAGGGCATGTATGGAAGGCAACTGATCCATGTTTCTTTCTCACATTGATGTTTCTCTCTCCCTTCCCTCTTCTCTCAAATCAGTAAACATATCCTCAGGTAAGGATTTTTTAAAAAAGACCTTGATAGCTTGGCACAAATATTTCTCTACTTTATGAATAACCAACCAGCAGTCCACAGACTTTATTTACCCCTCATCCTTATTCTGTTTTTTTTTTCCTTCTCTCATCCAAATGCAGGAGGATTATTTAAGAGAGGCTTTGAATGAAAAAAAATATTGTACCCCTAGCCTTCTCTCTGTCTTCCATCCAAGATCCCAAGCCAAAATACTCTCTATTTTTCTTTTTCTTTAATTTAGTCTTGGTGTGGTTAAAATCTATGAAAGGGCTGGTATTGAAAGGCAGTAACTAAGCTAACTTTGGGTTGCCTGATTCTTACAGCTGCTGTCTGAGAAGAAAAAGATTTCATTGTGATAATTGTGGTCTGTAATGCAAATTCATGCTTTTTATGAATCTGTTTTTCATATGGTCTAGCCACTTCCCCTTGTTCTACACATCACAGCCGGCTCAGAGCATTGCTGGTCTACAGCCCTCACAACAGTGGTTAAATCACTTCCTTCAGGAGCAGGGTTACCAGGGAGGTGCTCCACTTAGTGGCTAGATTTTATCTTATCTTGATAAGACAGTTGCTAACACTAAACCCCACACTGCTTTTTAATTTTTTCCCCAGCACACATTAACCACACTCTTTGAAAAGTTACAGATTCTGTCCTGCCTGGTGTGGCTCAGTGGATTGAGTGCCAGCCTGGGAACCAAAAGGTCACTGGTTCAATTCCCAGTCAGAGCACATGCCTGGGTTGTGGGCCAGGTCCCATGCAGGTGGCCCAGAAAAGGCAACCACACATAGATGTTTCTCTCCCTCTCTTTCTCCCTTCCTTTTTTACCTCTCTAAAAATAAATAAATAAAATCTTTTTTTTTTAAGAAAAGTTGCAGATTCTAAGTGTATAACAACTTGTCCTCCTCAGGTGACCTCAAGATTTATAATAAAGTCATTGATGTTAATTGTGTCTTTGGTCAAGGCAGACACCACTAGTAAAACCAAAGGTATAACCTAGTCTTTTTAATATTTTTTATCAATCACAGCTGACAGACAATATTATATTAGTTTCAGGTGTACACCATAATGGTTGGACACTTATACAACGTATGAAGTGATCCCCACAGTAAGGCTAGGGCCCACTTGGCATTGTACACAGTTATTATAATGTTATTGACTCTATTCCCTATGCCGTACTTTATATCTCCATGACTATTCTGTAACTACTCATTTGTACTTCCTTTTCTTTAAGGTAAAAAAAATACAAAGACTGAACTTATTTACTTATCTTATTTACTTATAGTTCATTTTTATTTTATTTTTTTCCCCATGACCATGTGCATGTCTTAACCCTTCATCCTTCTCCCCCAGCCCTCAATGCCCTCCCCTCTGACAGCTGTCAGTCTGGGCTGTACGTCCACTCATCTGTCCTAAATACTTTCATGATGATGTACAAATGTGAGTTTTCTCTCCGGCACTATTTTGTAAATTCCTTCCTTTGTTGCTTCCCCATAGGTCCCAGAATGATCCGCACATGCTTTCTTTGTGGATGGACCTTTGTTCCGCATTTGACTCAAACAAGAATCTGATCCATCTGGATATCAGTCAGAGTTTCCTCAGCACCTCATCCATTAGGATCCTTTGTGAAAAAATTGCCTCTGATACCTGTCATCTCCAGACAGTGGTGTAAGTAGAAGTGAATCCCAAGACTAAAAACCCTAGGGCATGACTGAGCCTTTTGGTGCAGTATTGGAATTGTTGTCCCAGACTCCACCCAAGTGCTCAAGATGCAAGACAGTGAGGTGGTCCAGTCTTCAAATTTGTCTGCCATGTAAATTTGTCTGTCATGTAATTTTTTCCAGGTTTTATTGTAGCAAAATGTGCCTAACATAAAACTAACTATCTTAGCCATTGTTAAGAGTACAGTTCAGCCCTGGCCCAGTGATCCAGTTGGTTGGAGCATTCTCTCATACACCAAAGTGTTGTGGAATTGATCCCTGGTCAGGGCACATACCTGGTTGTGGGTTTGATCCCTGGTCAGGGTGTATATGGGAGGCAATCAATTGATGTTGCTCTCTCACATCAGTGTTTGTCTCTCTCTGCCTTCTTCTCTCTCTAAAATCAATAAACATATCCCCAAATGGGGATTTTTTAAAAATTTTTATTTATTTTTAGAGAGAGGGGAAGGGAAGGAGAAAGAGAGGGAGAGAAACATCAATGTGTGGTTGCCTCTCTCACACCCCTACTGGGGACCTGGCCCACAACCCAGGCTTGTGCCCTGACTGGGAATCGAACCAGCAACGCTTTGGTTCCCAGGCCCACACTCAATCCACCGAGCTACACCAGCCAGAGCCAGGTGGGAATTTTCTTTAAAAGAGTACAGTTCAGTGGCATTAAGTACATTCATATTATGCAATCACTACCACCATATATCCCTAGAACTCTCTTCATCTTGCAAATACCAAACTTTATACTCATTAAACCGTTACTCCCCATGACCCCTGCTCCCCAGCCCCTGGCAACCACCATCCCACTTATTTAAAAAAGTAACTTGCCTGGCTGGCGTAGCTCAGTGGATTGAGCGTGGGCTGGGAACCAAAGTGTCCCAGGTTCGATTCCCAGCCAGGGTACATTCCTGGGTTGCAGGCCATAACCCCCAGCAACCGCACATTGATGTTTCTCTCTCTCTATCTTCCTCCCTTCCCTCTCTAAAAAATAAATTAAAAAAAATTTAAAAAATAAAATAAATAAAAATAAATAAAAATAAAAAAGTAACTTGGACACAATGTGAAACATAGCTGGATGTCCACAAAACACCCTGAGGACATCATCAAGATTGTGAGAGAAATTTCAATCCTATTATAACAACCCCAGGGCTGCATGCAGAGCACGGTTTTTCAACTTCTTGCTGACATTTCAGGGTGGACATTTCTTTGCTATGAGGGCTGTCCTGTGCCTGGTAGAATGTTGAGCATCATCCTTGGTCTCTAACTTCTGATGCCTGTCATACCCACACACGCCCAATGGTGACAACCAAAAATACCTCCAGACAGTAGGCAAGTGTCCCCAGTGGGTACAAAATCACCCCTGACTGGGAACTTCATGTAGAGAAATGGTCTCAAAGTGCGGAAACAGGTCTGAACATTAAAGTTCACTTGGAGGTGGATGTGTCTGTCTGCAAATCCTCAACAAATGTATGTAATGTCCCGGGCTGGGTGGTTCGGTTGGTCAGAGAGCATTGACTTTTTTTATTAATATTTTGTTGATGTTTTTTGTATGTATTTATGAGGAATTTTAGTCTGTAGTTTTTTTCCTTGTCATAAGGACTCCATCTTTACAAATAAATAATATGGAAGCAACTGGGCCTATGGGGGAGTATATTGAGGTTGGTGGGCTTTTTCATCACTCTGAAATTGTATCAGTATACTTGAAATTGGCAGAGAGATTTGATCTTAAGTGTTCTCACCACAAAATTTAAGGGAATGGTAACTGTGGGAGGTGATGATATGCTAATTAGCTTAATTATGGCCATGATTTCACCAAGTACACCTATATATCAAAACATTAAATCCTATACCTTAAATATGCACAATTTTTATTTGTCTATAATCCCTCAATAAAGGTGAAAATATGAAAAAATAGTGTCTGATTGTTACAGGGTGCAGCCAAGAAGGGGGGTCCCAAATAGGCATTTGAAATGGGGTCGAGAACTCAAGGTATCCAGGAGATTTTAAGGTGTCTTCACCCCTTCCCCCACAGGTGTGAGTTGGGGGAAGGGGCACCCAGAGCAAGAACATGCAGGGCAGCTTTACAGCTAATCCATGGCATGGTCATTTAACATACCTATAGCCTTTGGCTGGTCACTTAGATATGCTAAATAGCTATGGCCATGCTCAAGGCCAGGGGGATGGAAAGGGACCTCCCCCCAAGATGGGACTGGGGGGCAGGTCCCCTGAGTTACAGTGCCTGCGTGGGAGCTCGGAGAAGATTGGCTCCAGGACATGGGGCCACACCTGCCCAGACTCATGATGGCAGCCCAGTAAAGCTGGAAGGGTATGAGTTCTGGCATGTGAGGCCGAGTGTAGGAGGAGTCAGAAATGGGGCTGTAGAGGAAGATTGGCACGGGGATTTAAACCGAGACATGGCAGCCATTGAGGGAGAGAACCACGCGGCTATGGAAGTGCAGAGAAGATCACAGCTATTGAGGAGAGAGAACCACACAACTTTAGCAGAGTGAAAACTCCCTCGGCCCTGAGAGAGAAAACCATGCGGCCTTGACAGAGTGGAGACTCCCGCAGCCCTGAGAGGGAGAACCACGTGGCCTAGACAGAGTGGGGACTCTTCCGTAGCCTTGGTAGAGAGGACTACGTGCCTTTGCCAGAGTGGGGACCCCCGCAGCTTTAGAAGGGGGAACCACCACCTGGTTTTAGCAGAGATCCTGGTGACTCAGCTGAGGGTGCCGGGAACCCAGGGAGGTCTCCCAGTCAAGATGGAGCACTAACTGGGAATAACCAGAGGACTGCCTGAGCCATGGACTTCTATTTCCTTTCCTGAGATATGGTACTCTGGACTGGGCAAAGGGGGAAGGAAGGAAGGACTGTGTCTGTTTGTGGGTGTTTTAAGGGACTTTAGGATTTTTTGATAAAGACATTAGGTCACTACTTTAAGTTTGTATAGCATTAAATAAACATTTCCTTTCCTTTTCACGAATCTCTGGCATTGAGAGACGTCTTTCCTTGGGCGGCAGACACGACGGACCTGGGGGCTTTTTTTCAATAATAGTATATCATCCCAGGCCCCCCTTGTTTGTTCTGTAATATGATGTCTAAATATACTGCAGCCATTTGTTTACACATATATGCAGTAAAGGTACAAAAACTCACCTTTGTTTTCCTTGCTCTAGCCTCAGAAATATTTCCCCCATGGATGCTTATCAGAATATCTGCACCTGTTTTGGCGGTTACGAGACACTAACACATCTGACCCTCGAAGGGAATGATCAGAATGATATGCTTCCCACCCTGTGTGAGATCTTGAGGCACCCAAAATGTAATCTGCAATATCTCAGGTATAGCTCACCATCGCAGACAACCCTCAGCATGCAGAGGTAGCTGTCACAAGCCTCTGGTGCGATTCTGCATCAATTAGAAAAAAATCTCTTATACTGATTGGAAACAGTACCACCAAGGGTACACATCCCAGAACAGAAAATGGGCTGGGCTCTGGGCCAGTGGTTGCATTGGTTGGAGCATCATCCCACACACCAAAATGTTGCAGGTTTGATCCCCGGTAAGAGCTCATACCTAAGTAGCAGGTTTGGTTGTCGGTCAGGGCTGCGTGTGGGAGACAACTGATCTCTCTCTCCCTCTCCCTCTCCCCCTCCCCCTCCCCCTCCCTCTCCCCCCCCCTCTCTCAGCAAAATCAATGAACATAGGCTGGAGTTTAGTTTCCACTTGTGTCGATCACTGAACGCCCTGGACAACTACATAATGGCTCCAAGTCCACATAAACAGCCAGATACCTAAGAGTTATCATCTTCAATCGGAGATCATTTTTTCACGGTTCACATTTCTCATGGTCATGACTCACAATACCAGCTGCCAGACTTATCTTTCCAGGAAAGGATGCCTCAGGAGCACCAGGTTTTCCCCCTGGGACATGCTCCACTTGGTTGCTATAGCAGTGATTATCACTCATCATTGGGTTCCACTGATCCTTATGTGACCCCATTTGAGTAGTAACAGAAACAGAGTTTAATGTGCTGCATTGGTCTTGAAAGACAGCTCTTCCTGTACTTGTAGACTTGTGGGCTATTTAACTAGGTCTTCTCCCCATGAGTAGAATGGAATAAATACATATCTCACAAGGACTTGAGAGAGGATCAAATAAAACCAAGTCCAGGCACATGTAGGGAGCATCATTACTCTCGACTTTCCTTTCTCTCTCCTGTCAGGATTCACCAGGAAAATGCATCGTGTGTGGTTTTGTTTTGTTTTTGGTTTTTGTTGTTTTTTTTTAAACTTTGGGTCACTAATCTGTCTCTCAATGAATAAGTGGATACCCAGCATAGAAGGTAACATAACAGAGTGCAGAGAGGGATGAAACTGGAAACAACAACCCAGTGTCTGGTTCTCAGGAATGATTTCTGCCCTGACCAGGTGGCTCAGTTGGTGGGAGCATAGTCCCGTACACCAGAAGGTTGCCAGTTTGATTCCCAGTCAGGGCACATTACCTAGGTTGTGGGTTCAATTCCCAGTTGGGGCTTGTACAGAAAGCAACTGATGGATGCTTCTCATCCCATTTCTCTTGCAGGTTGGTGTCATGTTCTGCCACCCCTGAGCAATGGGCTGATCTGTCCTCCTCCCTGGAAACCAACCAGTCCCTCACATGTTTGAACCTCACGGCAGATGAGCTCCTGGATGAGGGTGCCAAGTTGCTGTACTTGACTTTGAGAAACCCACAGTGCTTCCTGAGGAGGTTGTCGTAAGTCTATCCTCTTTTCCCATGGAGCCCCTTCATGTTTAGATCTGGGGCTACATAAGGAAGAGCTATGGTAACAGCCCTATTTGCTGGGCAACCTACAATGGGAACACCTGGGAAAAATGGGAACACCTGGTTCCCATGCATCTCATTCTTCTCTGGCTCCTGTTCCTTCATGACTGATCATTCCTTCATGACTGATCATTAGCACATGATCATTGAGAGCGGGTGGGGAATTAACAAGAAGAGTTATCAGTCGAGAAGGCTGGCCTTCAGAAATCTTCTCACCGTCTTACCACAGGTGTGGTGCTTTTGCAGGTTGGAAAACAATCACCTTACAGGAGCCTATTTCAAGGATCTCTCTTCTGCGTTGATTGTCAACCTGAGGCTGACACACCTGTGCTTGGCCAAGAATGACCTTGGGGATAGCGGGGTAAAACTTCTGTGTGAAGGCTTAAGTTACCTTGACTGTCAACTACAGACCTTGGTGTAAGTCCCCATGGGCTGTGTGTGTGTGTGTGTGTGTGTGTGTGTGTGTCTGCTGGATTCCAGTGAGACAGTACTGTGAGCACTTCATAATTTCTCTGAATACCCCAAGTATGATGCTGATGGTCAGATCTGATGAGACCTGGGGAGAGAGTGATAGAAAAAAGAGTTCAAGTGGTGCCCTGACAGGTGTAGTTCAGAGGATTGGGCATCATCCTGCAAAGCAAAAGGTCGCTAATTCAATTCCCAGTCAGGGCACATGCCCAGGTTGTGGGCTAATCCCTGGTTGTGGTGCATACGAGAGACAACCAATCGATGTTTCTCACATCAACATTTCTCTTCCTTCTTTTCTTCCTCCTTTCCTCCTCTAAAGATAAATAAATCAAATCTTTTTATAACGCAGTATTAATATTCTCTAGGAATTTGGAGGATGTAGCTGACTTCTAGGTTTGATTTTTTTTAATGTGTGTTCTTAGAACTATGTAACATGAACTGTAAGTGAAGTTGGGGATAGATGGTGTTATTTACCAAGAAACTCAATAGAATCCTCCTGTAAATACTAAAATCATAGAACGAATTTTTAGACAAATGGGGCTGCACTGTTTCTCTTCAGAAATTCAGGGTTTTTTTAAGATTTTATTTATTTTTAGACAGAGGGGAAGGGAAAGAGAAAGAGAAAGAGAAAGAGAAAGAGAAAGAGAAAGAGAGGGAGAGAAACATCAGTGTGTGGTTGCCTGTCATGTGCCCCCTACTGGGGACCCAGCCCTCAACCCAGGCATGTGCCCTGACTGGGAATCAAACCAGCGATTCTTTGGTTCGCAGGCTGTTGCTCAGTCCACTGAGCTACGGCAGCCAGGGCCAGAGATTCAGTTTTAATATCTCTGTTGTTTTTGCTCTCTGAGAGCTACCTGAGTGCTCACCTCATCTTCCAAAGAGCCCTGAATTCCTTGGTTCATGGCTCTCTCCCTCCTCCTTCAGAACCAACAATGGTGGGTCGAGTCCTCATGTCACCCCTCTATTCACTTCAGCAAGAAAGGACTCATGTGATTAGATTCTGCTCCACTGTATAATCCAGGGTAATCTCCCCACCTCGAGGGCCTTAGTCTTAATCTCATCTGCAAAGACCCCTTGTATAAGGTCACATAGTCACAGTACTGGGGATTAGGTCATGGACTCCTATGAGGGTCATTGCTGTGCCTGTGGCAGCAGCCTATGGTAACATCAGCCATCTCCAGTTTTCTGTTAATATAACCAAGTTTAGGGCTCTATAATAGTAAGGCAGGAAGGAGAAGGCAAAAAGAAAAAGTCAAGATGAAGTGCCAGGGATATGCCATGTAGTTGGATACTTGATACCTAAGATCTAGCACCACACATGTTGAGATCAGAGTAGGTGCCCTTCTCGTCTAAGATACTACTTTTCTGGTAACTGCATTTAGGTAATTGTATCTGAAGTACAATTGGCCACGTCCCCTAATAGAAGGTGGCAGACCAAGGTAAGATTGAAATTCTCTGCCCGTGGTTAGAGTAGAAATCATAGAAACCAGTCATTTTCTTCTGGCTTCTGTAACAAACTGTCACAAATGAAGAAGCTGTAAATTTGTAATCTTAAAATTAGGGAGGACAGAAGCCTATAATGGGTCTCCCCAAACTAAAATCAAGGTGTCGGCAAGGATATATTCCTTCTGGAGGCTGAAGGGGGGAGTCTGTGTCCCCACCTTTTCCAGCTGCTATAAGCTCTCCATCCCTCAGCTCATGGCTTCTCCTTCCATCTTCAAAGCCAGTAGGATGTATCTTCAAATGTCCTTTATCTCCCTCATTGCATCTTTCCCTCTGGTTTTCACTCCATTCCCTCCTTCTTCTAAGGATCCTGTGATGACATTGGGTGCACCTGGTTAACCGCCGAATCTCAAGATCCTTAACTCAGTCCTATCTGCAGAGTACCCTTGTGTGGAATGTGATATGTACTTACAGATACTAGAGATTAGGATGCAGACATCTTCGGTGGGAAGAAGGGAGCATTATCCCGTCTGCCACCCTGCCCCATGCTTTCATGTCCATGTGTCCCTGGTCTAAAACCTGTGGCTTCAAATCGTCAATCATGGTTTGGGTGCATCACTAAAAGAGCTTTTTTCTTCTTCCTGTGATTGGTTCCTAGGCTATACTACTGCAACATAACCTCTGATGGCTGCATTAATCTCTCAATGATCCTGCAACAAAATTCAAGCCTCACACACTTGGACTTGGGGCTGAACCACATTGGAGTCACCGGACTGAAGTTTCTGTGTGAGGCTTTGAAGAAACCATTGTGTAACCTAAGATGTCTATGGTAAATTATGGGGTTTTTTTTTTAACTTTAATCTGCATCTGAAATATCAGTGTAGTGGTATTTCCAACTGTAATACAAAGGGTTGGAATAAATTCAGTTCAGTATTTTTTAAATCCTCCAGAATATCCCTGGCTGTGTAGTTCAGTTGCTTCAAGCATTGTCCCCATACACCAAGGTTGTGGTTTGATCCCAGGTCAGGGCACATACAAGAATCAACCTGTGAATGCATTAATAAGTGGAACAACAAATTGATGTTTCTCTATCTAACTATCTATCTCTATCTCTCTATCTCTCCCTTCCTCTCTATAAAAAAATCAACAAATAAAAAATCTGTTAAATTCTCTAGAATAATATTTTTCACCCACACACACACAAAAAAATCTAAAGCCCAAAATTCATAGGAAACCACAGAAGACCCCACATAGCTAAAAATAACACTGACAGAGTACAGCAAAGCTGAAGGCATCATACTTTCTGATTTCCAACTATAAGGTCAAAACAATATGGTCCTGGCATAAAACCAGATACATAGATCCAAGACCCAAAGTAGAGAGCCCAGAAATAACCCCCCCCCCGCACCATGTATACAGTCCTCTAATTTTTGGGGGGGAGGGTAGAATTTTTTTTATTTTAATCATTGTTCAAGTACAGTTTTCTCCCTTTTACTCCCATTCCAGACCACCCACCCATCCCTCCCCACTTCCCTCCCATTACAACCCTCCCCCTAGTTTTTGTCCATGTGTCATTTAAATTTGTTCCTGTAAACCCTTCCCATTCAGTCCTTGCAGTCCTCTAATCTTTGACAAAGGCACCAAGAATACTCAATGGGGCAAGCAGTCTCTTTAATAAATAATGTGGGAAAACTGGGTAGCCACATGCAGAAGACAAAATTGGACCCTTACACCATACACAAACATGAACTTAAAGCGTATTAAACCATACGCATACGACCTGAAACCACAAAACTCCTAGGAGAAAAGATAGGGCAGAAGGTCCTTGACGCTGGTCTTGACGATGTTTCCGGGAGAGGAACAAGGTACGTGGTGATGGAGGTCTCCTAATCACACACACTGCTGGGGCAGGAAGGATGGCTGCCCTTCATCTGGTCAGCAGCCACTTTCTGGCCATGTAATCTCAGACACTCTAGGAAACAGTTTGTTGCATCTATCAGAAAAGATTATTACGATTATGTATGCATGTCATTTTACCATGTGCCAAGAAGCACACTGAATGTTTGCTATTATATTTAGCCCCTTCTAAGTCCTAGGGTAAACTTAATACATGATCCAGTCCCTGATCTCAAAAGATTGTTTTATTTACTTAAAATCCTTTGTATGTCATCCTTTGTTCCTTTTCCTTTTAAATATCAAGTCTAACCCTGGCTGGTGTGGCTCAGTGGTTGAGCACAGGCCTGAGAACCAAAGGGTCGCTGGTTCAATTCCCAGTCTAAGGCACATGCCTGGGTTGCAGGTCAGGTCCCCAGTAGGGGGCACACAAGAGGCAACCACACATTGATGTTTCTCTCCCTCTCTTCCTCCCTTCCTTCCCCTCTCTAAAAAATAAATAAATAAAATCTTTAAAAACATATCATGTCCAATCCTTGTTGAAATCATGCTACCCCCTTCCAGGTATCTAGAACATGTTCCCTACTCCCACACACATGCTAGTAACATGTGGGCTGTTGCGGAGCTTTCAAATTCATCAGTATCCTGACTCCTTTGTTCCCCTACAGTTTTCAGCCAAGCACAAAACTAACTTCTAAGGAGCAACTTTTCACCCTCCTGATCAGCACCCTCAGTGGTTCCTCATCTCCTTTCAAGTAAAACCCTATGTTTACAACGGCCTAAGGACTTTATTCCAGCTGGGCCCCTCTTCTCGATGACCTCACACTCCAGCTGGCTGCCTCGAGGTTGTTTTACATGCTACTCACATGCAACCTCGTGGCCTTTGCATCATTTATGACCCTGCCTAGAAGGCTCCTACTCCAGCTCTCTCGAGGCTCATTCCCTTCACCCCTTATGTCCTGTCCAGCCAGCTTCTCCCTGTACCCCTTTCCCTTCATAACCCTCCTTTGCATTAAACTTGTATATAGCACACTAGATGTGTCTCTATTTCCTATTCCCAAACTCTGAGAGAAGAGACACGTGTTGTTCACTGTTGGGTGCCCAACACCCAAGACTGTGCCTGGAACAAAGGATGCACCAATAAGCACTGGTTGAATGAATGAATCAGTGAATTTTTGTGTTTCACCTACAGGTTATGGGGATGTGCAATCACCCCTTCTAGTTGCGCCGACCTCTCATCTGCCCTTAGTAGCAACAAGAACCTCGTCACTCTGGACCTGGGCCAGAACTTCCTGGGGTACAGTGGAGTAAAGATGCTGTATGACGTCCTGAAACTTCAAAGTTGCCCTCTCCAGAAGCTCAGGTATGATCCTCCTATGCCCCGCAGAGTTTGCTTCATGATGGTAGGTTTTGGGGGGAGCACCAACAGCAGGATTCCTGGTGGACATGTCTATTGCTAACATTCAGGTTTTTTAAGAAGATTTTACTTTTTTATATTTATTTTTAGAAAGAAGGGAAAGGAGGAAGAGAGGGAGAGAAACATCAATGTGTGGTTGCTTCTCACATGGCCCCCAATGGGGACCTGGCCTGCAACCCAGGCGTGTGCCCTGACTGAGAATCAAACCAGTGACCCTTTGGTTCACAGCCCACGCTCAATCCACTGGGCTACACCAGCCAGGGGATAACATTCAGTTTTTATCCATTGATGTTTGGTCACCAGATAACTCCTCTGCTGCTTTCTGCTGTTGCTTTGGTGGGTGAGATGAGTCCAGAGATAAGACCAAAACTCCCCCTGAAACCAAGAAGCTAGATTCAGGGCTTGTGTAAGTGAAAGACACGTACAGTGGCCAGCCATTGTCTTCTCACAAGGTGCTTTTGGAAAGGGTTGGTTTGTGGCTTTATCAGTTATGGAGGTCTAGAAGGTCAATGTCAGCCCTAGAGGAGTGGTCTCTGGAGTAAGTCTGCAGTCTGATGAGAATGGCCTGGGATAGCAGAAGCAATCACCAGCTGCTGTCCTCCACTTGCTCCTCAGAGCAAGTTGTCGTTGGGTTCTGTTGTGCACTTGCTACCATGGCAACAAAGAGCCATAAAGCTCAGGAAGAATGTGGGAAGTTCCTGTAATTCTCAGATGGAACCTAGGTCCTGAATGTCTTGAAACGATCAGAATTCTGTAGAAGAAACATTATATACTGACTTAACATGAATCTCAGGTCCCAAAGCACATTGCTAGTCAAAAGTTGGGATGTGTGGAAAACACTAAAGCTTTTTTATTTCTTTTTCTAGCCCCTTTCTCAGGGGTTAGTACTCTCACTTTAGATAGTATTGGTCATCTCAGTGAAGATGTAAAGCCCCAGAAAGACAACATTGAATCTGTTTCCTTATACCAACCAGTCAGACATTCTTTCTTGGGTCTTTGAATCTCAAGATGATGATTCATGGTGGAGCCTTCTCCATGAACCATAGATCCTAGAAAGGCACAGATCCCCTAGCCCTGCCCTTCCAGGATTTGGCATTAGTTCTTCAGTTCTCTCAGCTACCCCATATCCTTCTGGTAAGCCCTTTCACATTAAGTATAGTCTCTTTCTCTTGCTCACAGCCAAAAAAAAAAACACCTAACATCACACCTCATTCTCAGAGCAATGATTCTTCACACTCATTTCTGACTTCTTCAACACCTTGCCCACATACGTCTACTACGGGAACTATTTTTATTCTGCCAAAGACCAAGACCAACCTCTGACAATCATGAGTAAACACAATTACATTTGACCTTGAAGGGTCATATTTAAAATAGTTTGGAGCTGGTGGGCCTTTATTTTAGCCAAAGTTATCTTGATGTGAGGCAAGATATCTACTCAAGCTAGCTGAACACTGCATGGGTGTATTAGGCTTTTTTGTTGTTATTTTCCATCTTTATTGAGCTAAAAATGACAAATAGGAATTGTATATATTTAAGGTGCACAATGTGATGCTTTGCTGTATGTGTACATTTTGAAATGATCTTGAAAACCAAGCTAATTAACACATCCATCACGTCACATGGTTACCTTTTGGTGTGTGTGCTAGGACACATGAGACCTACTCTCTTGCCCGTTTTTAAGCAGATGACACAGTATTATTCACGATCGTCACCATGCTGTGAATTAGAGCCTCAGAACCTATTCATCTTATAACTGAAAGTTTGTCACATGGATGTACTGGGAATCTCAAATAGCAAAAATTGACTCATATGCTAGCAAAGCCAGGATTATGATGCTAACAAGAAACAAGGCAACTAATGTCCTTGGTCTCTTATTTTTATACATATTTTTGTTTCATTATCCCCTGTCCCTGACCACCTCATATTTCCACATGCACATGGCTGAATATGGTTACCAACAGGTGACTCTACCATCAGAAGTTAAAGAAAGTGTAGTCATTAAGTAACATCTTGTAGCCAAACTGAGACAGAAAGCTGGTCTGGCTGACTTGGGTCAAGTTTGTGTGTCTCCTCCTGGGTCCACCTAGTAGCAGAAGTTGACAAGGTGATTTATGGAGTAGGTAGATATGAGAGTTATGTTATAGGTATGTTCACCAGTTCCATCTCTCACATCAAGTGTGATAGGATAATCACCCAAGACCACCTGAGCATCCAAATCAATGCAGTGGCTTTATGCACAATATTATATTTTATCCCTATCAAATTGATATGGAACTCTCCTTGGCAGCATAGAATAATACATAAAGGTGGTCCCTGCTCTGAAAATCCCTAAAGCATGAGACTTGCAGGGGCTTGGGGGTCTGGAACAAACCTCCTTGAAGCAACAAGAAACCTTTTGTTCCCCCATTGTACCACCAGGTTGAATATAGATAAATCTGATGCTCAAACTCAGAAGCTGCTGAGCAAAATCAAAGAGAGCAACTCAAAACTGACTATTGAGAGAGATGATCAAGAGCCAAAAAATAACAGACCTTCTTCTCACGACTTTATTTTCTGAATCTCCCTGGAGTTATTTGTTCTCCAATCAAGTCATCCATCTTCAAGGTGATGGTAAACTTCCTGTGAGTTCTCCCAGCGATGTTCATTGCCGGACCAGATGTAATGTTGGCCTTGGTTGTGTCTCCAACTTATATGAGATGCGCACAAGTCACTTAATCCTGTTAGGATGAAATGTCTATATCACAAGTATACCAAGAGAAATAAAGGTGAAAGCATTCATGAAGAAGGTTGTATTTATTTATTTTTATTGATTTTACAGAGAAAGAGGAAGGGAGAGAGAGAAAAAAAAATCATTGACTTGTTCCACTTATTGATGCCTTCATTGGTTGATTCTTGGCAACAAAGAACTATAAAACTCAGGAAGAATGTGGGAAGATATGTGCCCTGACTGGAGATTGAACCCCCAACCTTGGTGTATGGGGATGATGCTCTAGCCAACTGAGCTACCCAGCTGGGGCCAAGGGGGTTGCATTTATTCATGGATTCTGACCAAATACAGAGGTCAAACTGGAGCCTGTCTGAAGGAAAGTTGAAGAAATAGGGAAGTATGGTGTCCAGTGAAGGAGCCATAAGATCCACAGTGTACAAAATATCAGTGAGGAGACTTCGGCATCCATTAGACTCCTTTCATTTCAAACAGAGGGAGTCCTCCAACAGAAAGCTAAATAAATAGACACTGACTCAGCAGCTCCTTGGTGGAGCGCCATCAAGAAGCACCCCCCACCCTCCTGTTCCACAGTGGTAGCTTCTATCATATTCCTTTCATACCCCACACACTCCACACGCACTCTAGGGCCCCTCCCAGCTCTCATGACCTATCTCTTAGATACAACAGAGTCTTGGGATTCTAATGGTGGCAACCATCATTACAGCCATCTAGTCGACCCCCATGCTAATGACTGTCATTTCTGGGTCTGTGGGAGGGGTGGCAGTGGCCTGTGGATAGCTCGGACCTGGTGCTGCAGGGATTTCTTTTGGCTGTACCAGTCTTCTGCCAGGATCCCTACCAGGAGAAGGAGAATCACAGCCCCAAGGCATATCCGGACCAGGTTACCCTTGGTGTAGTACTGGTGGGAGACACCTGAGGAATGAAGACAGGAGCAGGTGATAAGAACCCACCTCCAGGATCTGCTCCAAGCCACATCTCATGTTCCTCATAGCTGAATCCCTCATCTGAGATCTTGTTACTCTCTGCTAGCAAGGATGCCAATCTAGGATGCCTATCTTCTTCCTGAAGGGTTCCTCCCCACTTCACCAGGGTCAGGGCAAGACAATTCCAGCTCCCTAGATATAACCTCTTCCATACACCCCATCACAGGCCTCTGATACAACCTGTCTCATGCACAGACATTACCTGGTTATTCGTCTCATTGTGGAAGAGAAGACTATTATAAGGGGTAGAGAGTGAGAAGGAATTGATCTTTCTATAGAAGATTGCAACCTTCCCACCTGATCTTATTGCCAAGTTCTGGACTCTGTGTATTATCATTTCCCCTCCCCTTAATACTTGATACACCAGGACCCAAAAATCATAGCTATAGCTCTGCATAGGGAAAGCAGTCAGCTTTAGATAAAGACACAGGGAGGGAGAGAAGGAAGGTCCAGAGAAGACTACTTACTCACCAGTTGGAATGCTTGTCCCCTGTGTAGAGATGATGATATTCTTCCTAGAAGGCTCTGGGATCAAAAAGAGTAAGTGTGAAGGGATGGAACCATCTCCTATACCCCTGTCAATGTGAAAATCAAACTAGTAGTGGTCCTGGCCAAGTAGCTCAGTTGGTTAGAGCATCATCCCAATATACCAAGGTTGTGGGTTCAATCCCCGGTCAGGGCACATATGGGAATCAACCAGTGGCCCTGGCTGGTGTGGCTCAGTGGATTGAGCACTGGCCAGTGAACCAAAGTGTCTCTGCTTTGATTAGCAGTCAGGACACATACCTGGGCTGTGGGCCAGGTCCCCAGTCAGGGGGCATGCAAGAAGCAACCACACATTGATGTTTCTCTCCCTCTCTCTCTCCTTTCCCCTCTGTCTAAAAATAAAATCTTTTTTAAAGAAGGAATAGCCTACAAAAAGCTCAAGTCAGGTGGACTCAGGAGACATCTGACCTATCCTCAAGGTTTTCTGTTTTGGGAAAAATGGAGACTTCATTAATTTTTAGAGACAGAAAGAAAGGAAGGGGGGAGAGAGAGACATTGATCTATTGTTCCACATACTGATGCATTCATTGGTTGATTCTTCTACATGCCCTGACTGGGGACTGAACCCACAACCTTGGCATATCAAGATGGGATGATGCTCTAACCAACTGAACCACCCAGCTAGGGAGAAATTGAGACATTTTCCCAGGAAAAGCAAAGGGGAAAAGAACTACAACATGAGGGAAGTGTGTATGCATTGAACTGGGGTGGTAGCAGGGTACACGATATCTAGGCTGCCATGACCCAAGTGGGGCTGAATACATGGGTCAGAGCCAAGTCAGAAGAGCAGTGTGTACGGATGAGTCGTGATCTTCCCATCACAGGCTTGACTCCACCCTCTTTGAAATGGCCACATGACCAGATATATTCCTGTGTCCCCAGGCTCAGAGGCTGCCTCCATCCCATCCCCCACCTTCAAACCAAGGACTTTCCTGGGAAGAGTGAAATGGTTTCATAACACAGATAAAATGCTTGCAAAAGACAGAAAACTGTACTTGAACAATTAAAATAAAATTAAAAAAAAAAACACCTGCAACAGCCTTAGATGATGCAGAAGAGAGCCCAATCCTCATCTTCCTTTCTGCTGAGCTCTGTGCTGGTTATGGGGTTGTTGTTTTTTTGTTTTGTTTTGTTTTTTAATTTTCTGAGGCACATACCTAGGAGCAGAATTGCTGGATCATATGGTAATTCTATGATATGACTATATGGCAATTCTTTTTTTTTTTTTTTTTTGGTTAATCTTCACCCAAGGACACTTTTTCATTGCCTTTAGAAAGAGAGAAAGGGGGTGAGAACAACATTGAGGTGAGAGAGAAACATTGATTAGTTGCCTCTTGTAGGCCCCCTAACTGGGAATCTAACCCACAACCCAGGTACATGCCCTGACCAGGAATCAAACCTGCAGACTTTTGGTGTGCAGGATGATGATCCAACCAACTGAGCCACACTGGCCAGAGCTGGCAATTCCTTTTGAGGAGCCACCAAGCTCTTTTGCACAGCAGCTACACAATTTTTATTCCCACCAGCAATATATGAAGATTCCAGTTTTTCCACATCCTCACCAGCACTTGTTGTTGTGTTGTTGTTACTATTATTGCCATTCTGGTGGATATAATAAAGTTCATAACATGAGACTTTATATCTCAATTTTAAAAATGGGAAGTGTCCTGGCTGGTGTAGCTCAGTGAATTGAGCAAGAGATGTGAACCAAGGGGTCACCAGTTCGATTCCCAGTCAGGGCACCTGCCTGAGTTGTAGGCCAGGTCCCCAGTGGAGGCCACAAGGGAGACAACCACACATTGATGTTTCTCTCCCTCTTTCTCCCTCCCTTCCCCTGTCTCTATAAATAAATAAAACCTTTAAAAAATAAAATAAAAGTAGGAAGCATAGCCCTAGTTGAGTGGCTCAATTAGTTGGAGCTTTGTCCTGGACACCAAAAGGTTGCAGGTTCGATCCCTGGTCAGGGTACATACATGAAGCAACCAATAGGTGTTTCCCTCTCACATCATTGTTTCTCCCTCTCTTTCTCCCTTTCTCTCTCTCTAAAAGCATGAAATGGAGGAGCTCTGTGGTCCCACAGAATTTAGTGCAGTGGCTCTCACAATAACATCACAGAAAAGCAACATCAGCCTCACCTGGGAACTTGTTAGAAATGAAACTTACTATACCCCGCCCCAGACCTTCAAAATCAGAAACTCCACAGGACTAGAAATCTACTCTTTATAAACCCCCCAGGGAATTCTCAGGCCCACAAACATTTGAGAACCACTAACCAAAGATCTCAGAGATTCAGGTATGGGGTCCAGGAACCTACAATTCTCCTTTTTCTTTTTTTTTTTTATTTTGTTGCTGTTCAAGTACAGTTTTCTGCCTTTCCCTTCCCCTGCCACCTTCCTCCCTGCCCCAGGAACCTACAATTCTATAAAACATTTAGATATTCTTGTACACCTTTGACATAAACCAACACCCTGAGGCTGGATACAAGTGGGGACCTAGGCAGCATAATAATATCTATCTACTATGACACTCACCTTTTTTATGGGCAAAAATAAAGAATTTTTATAATAAAGCAAGTGTATGAAAGAGACAAGTGAGTCACATTGAGAAGTCTGGATGAAGAGGAAAAAGAGAAAAAGAGACCCAGGCACCTGGGACCCTGGAGACCAAGGTGAACCCTTCGGGACTTACCTGTGACAGCAGAAGATGCTGCTGTGGGTACCGAGTGGGTTGTCACAGTGGTCTCTGAGAAATCAGAAAAAGAGGGAATTCTGTGCACTGTTAGCTGCGGGTCCTGAGCAAAAAGATAAAACCTTTCTGCCACCCAGATCCCTCACCTGGAAAAATCAACATAAAGCTGACAACACGGGAAGGACTGTCGTGAGAGTTGAGTAGCCTTTGAAAGGAGCCTCAGTCCATTCTGGGGCTAATCCATCATGACAGTCCCCGTCCCTACATGACGAACCTCAGTTCTGCCCAGTCTCTGCATCTCTGTGCCCTACGCCCTGAGCTGGTTCCCAGGAGCCAAACCTGCTCTCATAGGTGGAGGAGGGGACAAGGATGTATATCTATCTGCTTATGATACTCACCTTTTTTAGAGGCAGGAATAAAGGATTTTTCTGTTAAAGCAAATGTGTGAAAGAGTCAAATTTAGAAATCTGGACAAGGAGGGGAAAGAAAAGAAGACCTCTGGGACCCCAGATACCAGGGTGAACCCTTCGGGACTTACCTGTTCCAGATGAAAGGGTGAGCTTGGGCAGAGAGGCAGGTACCCATGTGGGAGGAACAACATGGGCCCTTCCTCATCTCACACCACCCTCCCTCCATGCCAGCCGCACCACGTGGCACCAACCGGCCAACCCCCTTCCTGCCACAATTCCACCACCCTGCAGCCCACCCCACCCCCCAGGTCCACTCTGCCCGAAGGTCCACAGCCAACACTGATGGCTCAGAGAAGCCTCCCCTTCTAGGTGCTAACAGAACTATGTAATTCTTTTTTGTAGATTTTTTAAATTTTTCAGTTTACCATGGGCATTCAATACTACATTCACTTCAGGTGTGCAGCATAGTGGTTAGCCTACATACTTCTCAAGCTTGAGGGTTGTTTTCACAGTCACCATGATACAGGTGTCAGGTGTGTCTTTGAACACCATTTGTTCTGTTAACTACTGTGTGTGTACACGGCGTGTGTGTGTGTGTATGAGAGGACATACTGGACACGGAGTGTCATCATGTAGCCCGGGCTGAGACTAGAGATGGGCTTGGAAAAGGCTCTGGGGACAGAAGGGGCTCTGGTATTGACATAAAGCACATCCTTTGCACCTGTGGTCCCGCCCCCCAGCCCTGCCCCTTGGAACCTGCACCAGGGCCTGCAAAGGCAGAGGCAGAAAGGTCTGGTCTGCACCCCCTCACCTCTGACCACGAGCTCCAAGGGGTCACTGGGGGCCGACCACAGGTAGGGGTTGCTGCTGGAAAAGCTGTAGCACTGGTAGGTCCCACTGTGAGCCGCCGTCACCGTGATGATCGAGAAATCAGCCTGGTACCACATCTCCGTTTGCTTCTTTTGTCCCTTGTCCCCCTTCTTGCACAGAGCATACTGGTCAAAACTGTATTTGCTCTTACACTGCAGAGTCACATCGCCTCCCGGGGATACAGCCGGGCCGGGCTGGGCTGAGAGCGTGGGCTTCTCATAGATTCCTGGGAGCGGAGAGAACTCTGGTGTTAAAGACAGTGGTTGGTATCTCAGCCAGGCATGGGAAGGTTCCCCACCTCCCTGAGAGGTGGAGAACTTCCCAGGCATATCTATTCTGGAGAGACCACTTTCCACCAGCTCACAAAGTGGCTAAGGGAACAAGGCTGGAGTTATATCTCAGTGTTCCAGCTGAACTCCTGGCTCTGCCACTCAGGGACTGTGTGAGACTGGACATGAATTCCCCCTGTGTGTGTGCCTCAGGCTTCTGGGCTACAAAATGGGAATGGCTGAGTGAAGCAATAGATATTAAGCACTGAGCTGAGTACCTAACGCCTTGCCAGCACTCACACTATGGTGGTAGTAACAACATAGCTTGAGCTGATTTTCTATTGTAAGCTTGGGTTACAGTGTGCAACAGTTATATTGGTATTATGTGTTATTGTACCAGCTTCCAGCCCTGGCTGGTGTGGCTCCATGGATTGAGCACCAGCCTGAAAACCAAAAGGTTACTGGTTCGATTCCCAGTCAGGGCACATGCCTGAGTTGCAGGCCAGGTCCCTGGTTGGGGGTGTGTGAGAGGCAATCGATTGATGTATCTCTCACACATAAATGTTTCTCTCCCTCTCTTTCTCTCTCCCTTTCCCTCTCTCTAAAATTAATAAATAAAATCTTCAAAAAATGCAAAAAAAATTTTTCAAACAAAAAATAAAATAAAGTACCAGCTTCCAGATGGTATTCCAAGGCCATGACTCACAAAGACCTATGACTTCATCACCCCTTTTTCATCAACAGAACTAAAGGACCCAATGCTCAATAAAGCATCCATGTTCATAAGATGGGAAGAGGCAGAGCTGAAATTTGCAATCACAGGCCCAGGCTCTAGGCTCTCGGCTCCTGAAAATGAGCTCACACTGCTATAGATATAATGTGATTTAATTATCATCATGGAGCGTGGTGAGCCACACCTGGTGCATGATGGTCCCCACAGAAGCCACATGAGAATTATGGCTTGTTCATTTACACAGTAATTTTTTTTTCCTTAGCAAGTCTCATATGTCCATCTCTGTGCTCAGAAAAAATAAATAATTCCCATCAGGAGGAGAGAAGAGGCAATAACTAAGCTAAGTAAGTAAACGTGTGTTGCCCATCAGAGTGATCAGTGCCATTTCAACCAGGTGCAGTGTTAAATAAGGTGGTGAGGGAAATAGTTAATGAAAACACAGGATTGGGGTTTGTCCCCAAGGTGCATGCAACACCTGATGGACCACTGACCACAGATTGTGAATTAGGGTAAGACAGTGGCCTTTGGGGGCAAATTTAAAAGGTTGGAGACAAAACTCAGTAATCAAGGTAAATTTTACCATCAACATTAATGCAAACACATTATTAAAATCAATTTTAAAATCAAAATTAATGGAAGCACGTCCACAGTGGGCAAAAAAATGTCAACATTGGGGTCACATTGAAGCTGAGGCAAGGACTCCAAACATTCTTACACAGGTTTATTGGTTACTAGAATGTAGAAAAAAACAAATAGTTTTCAAATAAGTTATTGAAATTTGCCACATTATTTCCAGTTTAAACATTTTATGTAGACCAAAAAATGAACAGGATTTATTATCATTCAAGTCTCTGGCTTTCATGGAAGCAAAGTCATCAATGATATTTTTGAAATTTTCTTTGGGAAAATTAAAAAAAAATTTTTTAATGCATTAGAAAGAGCCTGGGCCCGGTGTCTCCGTTGGGTGGAGCATCGTCCCCTGCACCAAAAAGCTGTGGGTTCAGTGCCCAGTCAGGGCACATGCAGGAGACAACTAACTGATGTTTGTCTCTCTTCCTCCTGCCCTCTAAAATCAATGACCACCTCAGGTGATGATTTCTTTTCATTGTGGTTTTTTGTCCATAGTGGAGTGACTGCATCGATTTGGATTTTTGTAAGCAGAAATTGCATTAACGTACTGATCTTGATAGCTGAGTTTGGGGGGGGGTACCTCCCCTAAATTGGGTGCACAAGGCCAGTGCCTCACTTGCCCCCACCCTAATCCCAGCCTCCAGGGGACATTGACATCACCTGTCACCCTCATCCCCATCATCACCCTGGTGGAGCCCAGGACTGAGCACCATATAGCCCCGAGGCCACATATCAAGCCCCACCCAACACTCCCACACACACTTGTCCAGTTACCCGTGATAACCAATGTCAGCGTCTCACTCGGGGGAGACCAGAGGCTCCCATTCTGGTAGGAGCATCGGTACCGTCCCGCATAATCCGGTGTCATGGCTTTGATGATGAGGACCGCCTGCCTCTCATAATACTTCCTGGATTCCAGATTCTCCAGGCGGTACAGGTCCACCCCTGGGGGGCCCCTTGGCAACGCAGGGTCACCAGCGTATGCTGGGACACAAGGGAGCTGGGCTCCGCCCGGAGGGTGGGCTTGGGGAATGGGGCTGGAAGGGAAGCAGAGGGTGGTGGGTGTCAGCTGGGGCCTCGCCCCTCCCGCCCTCTCGCTGGCTGACCCCAGAGGAGGGATCCAGACTCACCCATCTGAGCTTGTATCACTTGCCCCAGACACAGCCCTGAGGAGGGAAGAAAAGGACAAAGGGGGGTGGGGCGGGGAACGGGACAACTGTAATAGCATAATCAATAAAATATATTTTAAATAAATAAAAAAAAGAAAAGGGCTAACACTAGGGCCTCATGTGATCCCACACTTCCTGTGTGCTGGGCACAGTGATAAGACAGTTGCATGCATTATATGTCTTTGGTCATAATTGTTTTGAAAGATACACATGCACATAACTGCAGTGAAAGACACTAACCAGAAAAGGCCACTCTGATAGCCCTGGCCGAGTGGCTCAGTGGGTTGGAGCATCGTTCTGTGCAACAAAATGTCTTGGGCTTGATTCCTGGTTGGGGCGCACACCTAGGTTGCTGGTTGGATCACCTGTCAGAGCCCCTACAGGAGGTGACAGGTGGATCGAGGTTTCTCTCTCTCTCTCTCCCCCACCTTCCTCTGCCTCTCAAAAACATCAATAAAAACAGCCTCGGGCGAGGATTTAAAATAATACTAATAACAAAGGCCACAGTTGTATGATTCCATGTATACGAAATGTCCAGAACAGGTCAGTCTGTCCAGAGACAGAGAGTCAATGGGTGGCTGGCAGGGGCCAGGGGAGGAAAGCTGAGGGCTGAGTGTGGTGGGTCCCGAGTTCCCTTTTGGAAGGGTGACAGTGTGTCGGAACTAGACACGGGCGATGATTGCAAGACCCTGTAAATGTCGTGAATGCCAAGCTTTACGTTAAGTACATTATTTTACCATGCCTTTTTTTTTTTGAAGTGCCAACAGGGATTTCTTACTCAGCCAGCTCCCTCCAGAAACCCTGCCCCATGTGCACACTTTTGACAGCTACATAATTGCCTCTTCTTTGAGAAGGGGCCTGTGAGCTGGGTGAGGTCTCTTTTTTTTTCCCTCAGCTTCATTGAGATGGAATTGGCATATAACATTGTGTAAGTTTAAGGTGTACAGTGTGTTGATTTGGTACAAATACCTGTTGCAAAATGATTTTTACTGTAGCTTTAGCCTACACCTCCATCACGTCACATAATTACCATTTTTTGTGGTGAGAGCCTTTAAGATCTACTCTCTTAGCAACTTTCAAGTAGGTAATACAGTGTATTGTTAACTACAGTCACCATGCTGTATATTAGCTCCCAGAATGTATTCATCTCTTAACTGGAAGTTTCTACACTTCCCTCACCTACCCCCCTAGCCCCTGGTAACCGCCCTTCTACTCTCTGCTTTTGTGTTATTTTTACTTTTTAAAGATTTTATGTATTCTAGAGAAGGGAAGGGAGGGAGAAAAAGAAGAGAAACATCAATATGTGGTTGCCTCTTGCACACCACCACCCCCCAATAGGGACCTGGCCCTCAACCCAGGCATGTGCCCTGACTGGGAATTGAACCAGTGACCCTTTCGTTCACAGGCTTGTGCTCAATCCACTGAACTTGGCCAGGGCTGGGTTTGTTTTTTTAGATTCCACGTATAAATGAGATCATGCAGTACTTTCTTCCTCTGTCTGGCTTATCTCACTTAGCACGACGCCCTCCAGGTTCATCCATGTTCTTCTTTTCCATTAGGGAAACGGACCAACTGAATCGACAACTAGCCCTGATATCACCGAATCCATATTTTATTTTTTTTAAGTGGGGTAGTGGGAGAAAGTTTCAGCCAGTGCCAAAAAACCTATATTCGCTTCCTGAGCCAGCCCGGAACAGACTAGAATAACTCACACCAACACTCTACCTCCCTGAGTCCCGCCCAAGGAAAAGGGACCCTCAGAAGTCACCTCTCACTCCAAAATCCATGGCTCACACTATTTTTTAGAAAATTACTGGTCTCACAGCCTACCGCCTCGGCATTTCCCAGATCAACCCTCAGAACTCACCGAGACAGAAGCAGGCAGACAGGGAAGGGGACATGGTTCCTCAGCCGGTCCTGAATGCTGGTGCCCCAGAGGGAGGCCGTGAGGGGCTGGAGCGGAGGAGACACAGGATGCGATGAGGGTGAGGAACGCTCTGCTCCCTCCCCCAGCCAGCCTGGCTTTTCCTTACTGAGACTTATCAGGCTGGAACGGTCCCCTCAGCAGAGTGACTTGCACACAGACTCCACGGATCCTCGCTTATCTCCGGCCACCAGCCCATTGAGGGACTGTCCATCCCCCCAGGGCTCCCCTGAACTTCCCGACATTCACCGGGACCTGCAAATCAGAACCCAAGTGAGAGAATGTTTCTTTCGCACCCAGGAGGAGGGTAGCTGTCCTCAACAAGACAGATGTTGACAGACGTCGGCAAGGATGTGGAGAAGTGGGAACCCTTGTGCATGGCTGGCGGCCACCTCGGGAAATGGTTTGGTGGTTCCTCAGAATGTCCCATGTGGAAACAGCGTATGATCCTACAATGCCACTTTCATTGTTTGTTTGCTTGTTTGTGTTTAAACTTTTGTTCTTCACATTTTTTATTGTTGTTGAAGTGCAGTTGTCTCCATTTTTCCCCCCACCCCAGCCATCCCCCACTTCCCACCCCTGATCCTACCCCCCTTTGGTTTTGTCCATGTGTCCTTTATACATGTTCCTGGGAACACTTTCCTCTTTTCCCCCCATTATCCCCTCCTACCTCCCCTCTGGTTACTGTCCGTTTGTGGATTGAATGCTGGCGTGTGAACCAAAAGGTCACTGGTTCGATTCCTAGTCAGGGCACATGCCTGGGTTGCGGGCCTGGTCCCCAGTGGGAGCCATGTGAGAGGCAACCACACATTGATGTTTCTCTCCCTCTTTCTTCCTCCCTTCCCCCTGTCTAAAAATAAAGAAATAAAATATTCTTTTAAAAAAAAAAGAAGGTTGCGGGTTCAGTCCCAATTTGGGGTGTGTGCAGGAGGCAACCGATCAATGTTTCTTGCAAGTCAATAAACATAACCCCAGGAGAGGATTTTTTTAAATAAAATGAAAAATTTAAAAAAAACTTAAAAATATATTTGATTGGAAAGAAAAGGAGGAAGCAGATCTCAACATCATGCTGGGGACACAGCTTGACGAAAGTACTCAAAAAAACAGGCAAGGTGGCTTCTTTTTCCTCATTTTCAATGGGGAGAATTCAGCCTCTTTTTTGCTAATTTGCCATTGCCTTCACAGTCTCAGCTCCCCGGTCATGGTGCCAATTCTGTGGCCAGACCAGTAGCTTCCTCAGCTCTCCCACAAACCCCTCCACCCACAACCCCCAAATTCAGGCTGGAGATATTGATGACTATTTTTCCAATCATAGTGCTAATCTCCCCAAATTCACTCCTCCACCCACCTCTCACTCTGGCCCACCAATACGCCTCATTCTGTCTGTCTCAATGAATTTGACTTCTCTGGATGCCTGATATAAGTGGAATCTGACTGTATTTGTCTTTTTGTGTCTGGCCTATTACTCAGCATGATGTCCTCAAGCTTCATCCAGGTTGTAGCAGGTGTCAGAATTTCCTTCCTTTTTTTTAAAGATTTTATTCATTTTTTAGAGAGAGGGTAAGGGAGGGAGAAAGAGAGAGAGAAACATCAGTGTGTGGTTGCCTTTCACCAACCCCCCACTGGGGACGTGGCCGGCAGCCCAGGCCAGTGCCTCGGCTGGGATTCGGACCAGTGACCCCTGGATTAGCAGGCCCGCCCTCAATCACCTGAGCCACACCAGCCGGGGCTCCTTCCTTTTTAAGGCTGCATAATGTTCCACCAGGTGGATGGACCACGTTTTATTATCCATCAATCTGATGATGGACACCTGGATTGCGTCCACCTCTTGGCTGTTGCGAATAGCGAATAGCGCCGCTTTGAGCCCAGTGGAGGAGGGGTGACAGGTCGGCAAAACATTACTGTGTGACCTGCCAATTCCACTCTTAGGCGTCTATCAAGTGAATTTTGGGATTCTCATTATTTTCTGGTTTATATTGGTGGCAGCGTTTGATAACTACTGTTTAGGCCTGTGCATTTCTGTAGTTTGGTGTGATTCCTACATTTTCTTAACCGTGTTCTTAAACAGTTAACGCTCCTTGTTGCTATTGTGAAGATTTTTAGGGCAACAGCGCCATCTACTGGTAGCATGGTGATGTACCGGTTTTTATTAGGCGGAGATATTTCCTTTCCTTTTATTTTTTCCCCCTTCTCTGCAAAACCCTAATTTCCCCCTCTTTCTCCTCTTTCTCTTGACCATACAGAGTCCAAAAGGGGCCCATCCTCTACTTTCTTATGGCTGGAGATTCACTTTTCTGAGACCACAGTTGGTGCTTGATCTGCCTGCATGCTTTTCACCATTTTCACACTTTCCCTTTCTGATGGTGGTTTTCACACATTTGCAGACTTGCCAATAGCACCGTTTTTCAGTTTTTCTCAGACTGGTGTGGGGGCATCCGTATGATACAGCCGTGTAATAAAATCGTGTACAGGTTTTGTCTGTGGTTTGTTGTTGTTGTTGTTTTTAAGAATGTGGTATCCTTAGCCAGTAACTTAATTGATTAGAGCATCGTCCTGATACTCCAAGGTTGTGGCTTTGATTCCCAGTCAGGGCACGTGCAAGAATCAACCAATGAATTCATAAATCAATGTAACAACAGATCAATGTTCCTCTCTCTCTTTCTCTCCCCTCCCCCTTCTCTCTCTCAAAAATCAATAAACATATCCTTAGGTGAGAAGGAAGGAGCTTTTCGTCCATGGATTCTCCGCAGCTGTTCTCCTTTTCCACCCTGAGCCTCATGCCCTGGAGCGAGCCCAAACAGGTGCCCCAGGTTCAACCAATGATGCAATGATCCGGGCAGGTCTTGATGGGAATAAACATCACCTTGGGAGACACATGTTTGAGGAGGGCCCGTGCAGTAAAGGAGAGCTGAATGGGTGGGGGACTGTTCCAGGTTTTCAGGTGTGTCCACACAAAGGCCCCAATCCCAGATCTCAGGCAGCTCCAGAGCTTTCGCAGCTCTGCCCCTGTTACAAACCCCCAGTGTGGCTTCCAGCAGAGCCCACCTGTGAGAGAGGCCCCCTGATTTCATGCCACGTCTCCCCCAGGAATTAACTGCTCCGAGACGGTCACTCTTTCTTGCCTCAGCCTCTCCCATCACTTGCACTGTTTCCGTAACAATACCCAATCCAGAGCATGCATGCTCAGCCCCTGGCCTCCCCTCCACCTGAGCGTCACCTCAATTAACCACAGGTGGAAACCCATGCTTGTGGTCCCCCTGCGTGCCAGTGACTAGGTCCAGCTCACTTGCTGTCCATTTGCAGCTCCTAAAACTCACAGTCCGGGAAATGGATCCCATTCTGTCTGCATGTGGTTCTCCACTGAAGGTGACCTTCCCCTCCCAGGACACACCTGGCAGTGTCTGGAGACAATGTGGGGGTCACACCTGTGGGGCTGGGGAGAGGTGCTACTGGCATCTAGTGTGGAGGCCAGGAACACTGTTTACACCCCACAGTGCACAGGACACCCCACCCCACAGCAGAGATGTGTCCAGCCCCAAATGTTAACAGCTGGTTAACTGGTGTTGGAAAATCCTGCTTGAGGTCCATGAGGTCTCGGCATGTGTGTGGGATGTGTATGGGTTTTTTTAAGATTTTATTTGTTTATTTTTAGAGAGAGGGGAAGGGAGGGAAAAAGGAGAGAAACATCAGTGTGTGGTTACCTCCCCCACACCCCCTACTGGGGACCTGGTCTACAACCCAGGCATGTGCCCTGACTGGGAATCAAACCAGTGACCCTTTGGTTTGGGGGCTGGTGCTCAATCCACTGAGCCACACCAGCCAGGGCGTGCATGGGTTTTAAGATGAGCACATAATGCTATCACATGGAAGAAATTGAAGTGCTTCTCTCTCCCACATCACAGAAACAAGAAAGAAAGTGGCTCTTGTGGGCTCTGGCAGCCTCCTTGTGACCCCAAAGAGACTATATGTGTCCCCTGGCTGTTGTGACAAATTGCCATCCCCTTAGTGGCTTAAAGAAACACATTTATTCTCTCAAAGTTCCAGAGGCCAAAAGCCCAAGGTCAAGGCATCAGAAGGCCCGGCACCCTCAGAGGCTCCCAGGGGGAGGGGTCAGTCTCCAATTTGGGGGTCCGTCATGCCTATCTCTGTCCCCTGTCCCCACATGTCTCCCCTCCTATCTCTTGTAAGGACACTTGTAGTTGGAGTTAGGGCCCAACCAACTCATGTAGGAAGAACTCATCTCGACCCTTAACTTTGTTACAAAGAACCTTTTTTTCCAAACGAGGTCCCATTCACTGATACCAGGACATGGACCTAACTTTGGGGGGACCACCATCAACCCACCACAGATGTCCAGCCTTGAGGTGAAGTTGGACCTAGTGATGGGTCAACAGGCAGATGGAATCATGACAATGTCACCGAACCCAAAGTGTGTTCCAGAACCCTTGGATCTCCCTTCTCCCTTGTGATGGGCGTAAACAGAAGTCCAGCTGATACCCATCAGGTACAGCCCATCACCAGCAGCCCACAGCATCTGGCACAATTTCCAGACCTCCAAAGAGCCCCCTGTACCCCCACTGGTGTCCCTTTACATGAAGCATCTGCCACCCCCCCCACCCCAAGCATTGCCCGACCTCGTTCAAGTCTTTGGTCTGTTTGTGACTTCATCACAATCTGCCATCTGGGTGCCTGTGGTTTTGGAGGGTGTTTTAGATGGGTTTTTATCACCCTTCATTGGTGAAGGTGATAGCTGGGCTTGTGAGCCACCTCAAAGCCTTTGAGGATATACAGAGGGGTGACATCAGTTTGTGGGAGTCCACATCTGTGGTTTTGGGGTTTCTCAGGTTGGAAGGGAAGCGGATGTCAGCCCCGAGGGTTTGTGGTTAGAATTGGCCCCAAGCCAAACCGCAGTGCATGTGGTTATGTAACAGGAAGGACTTCCCCTTTCATCTAAACCCACAACCACCACCTCCCCCAAGAAAGAGAGAGAGAGAGAGAGAGAGAGAGAGAGAGAGAGAGAGAGAGAAAGAAAGAAAGAAAGAAAGAAAGAAAGAAAGAAAGAAAGAAAGAAAGAAAGAAAGAAAGAAAGAAAGAAAAAGAAAGAAAGAAATTCCAGAATCACGTTGAATTCCCGTCCTCTTCTTGCTAAGACACCCCTTGATTTTTCTAAAAGCAGGTAGCGGGCAGTTCATGGTAACATATTTTAGTTGATTTGCTTGCAACACCGGTGAAGCTGATTCTGCTTCGTTGAAGCAGAAAGGAATTGGTGGCAACTGTGTAAGTCAGGTTTTCAGTTGTGAGAAAAGCTAAGAAAGCAGGTTTTGAAAGGGACAGTGGCAGGCAGAACAGTCGCCCCCCGGAGACATCCACATCCTGATCCCTGGAACCTGTCACTTCCCATGGAAAAGGAGGGTGGAGGTGGCACACAGAATTAATGAAATTAATATTTCTAATCAACTATTTACAATAGTCGAGCTCTGGAAGCAGCCCACATGCCCATCAGTAGATGAGTGGATAAAAAAGCTGTGGTGTATTCACACAATGGAATACTACTCATCCATAAAAAAAAGGAGGAAGTCTTACCTTTCACAACAGTATGGATGGACCTGGAAAGTATTGTACTAAGTGAAATGAGCCAGACAGAGAAAGACAAATTACCATATAATCTCACTTATATGTGGAATCTAGTGAACAAATAGAAATAGACTCACGGAGAACAGACTGACAGCTGTCAGAGGGGAGTAGGGTGGGGGCTGGGTGAAAAGGGGGAAGGGATTAAGGAAAAAAAAACTCATAGACACAGACAACAGTATGATTATGACCAAGAGAAGGGGGTGGGGGAGGTAAAAGAGGGTAAAGAGGGGAATAAATGGAAGACTTGACTTGGGGTGGTAAACACGCAATACAATATATGGATGATGTACTGTAAAATTGTACACCTGAAATCTATATAATTTTATTAACCAATGTCACCCCAATAAACTCAGTTTAAAAAAAATAAAATAAATATATAAATAAAGTTACTGATCAGCAGACTCTAAAGGAGGGAAGTGATCGTGGATTTTCTGGAACATGGGGAGATGGGGACCATTGAGGGTGGTGTCAGGCACTGCCTGCCACAGTCACATCATCCAACATATCCTCAGCTACTCTGATGCAATGTGGTGAAAGTAAGAAAACTGACTGCCCTTATAAAGCGTTAGATTGTCTGATTCCGCCCCCACCACTCCCCTCCCCCACACTGCCAGCACCAGGTGTGGGACATTCTGTGCTGTTCAGTGTATTGCAGGATGTGAAGCAGCTCCCCTGGCCTCCATGAGTCCCTCAAAATTTAAATTTTTTAATGTCCAAACATTTATCCTCACTACTGAGCTTTGGGTACTTCTGCCCCTTTATTCTGAGCCCGAGCAGAGTGGCAGCCCTATTTCTGATAGAGAAGACACCCAGACTTCAACAACTGTCCCGAGGTGGGAGGGGACCCTTTCATTTCTTTTTTTTTTTCTTGGAGAAAGAAAGGAAGAGAGAAAGAAACATTGACTTGTTGTTCCACTTATTGATGCATTCATTGATTGATTCTTGTATGTGCCCTGACCAAGGATGGAACCAGCAACCTTGGCATATGGGGCCAATGCTCTAATCAACTGAGCTACTTGGTCAGGGCCACATTTCTAAACGTGTAAACATCTGATTAGGTTACTGGCTTGGTAGTGTTTAAACTGCTGTCTCTGCTACACAAAAGGAAAAAATACATGACTTGTTTTTGTTCAGCTCATTGGCACTTCCCCACGTGCACAGAGGAAGAAAATAAAACCTATGACTCCGCTAGATTTTTTTATTATCCTTAAAGAACAAATTTGAGAGTTCACAGGGCTAGAGAAGGTCATGACCCCAGGCATCTTGGGTACTCAGCAGCAGAAGCTGGTGCGTTGTTCACTTGTCCGGGGCATGGCTTCAGGATACAGGACCCGGTGGTATGGGCCTGTTCTCTGAATAACTATCCCCCAACCCCCACACCTGGCCAGAGTCAGGCACCCTAAGACCCTCAGTAAACTTTCCCTGGCAAGAAATGCTCAGCACACCATCCTATGAGGTAGTCAAGAGATTCTGCACATTTTACAATCAGAGAAACAGAGGCTCAGAAAGGGGTCTGGAGGTGTACAAAGTCCCACAGGGGACCATGAACTTGGCTGTGTCTGCCCAACAATTTATCCTCAACTGTGGCCCACATCAGAGAGAGCTGGCTCCTCCCTCAGTAGTTCCCAGTTTAGATTCTCAAAGCCGGCATCTGATAACCCGGCTCACCTGTGACAGCCAGATACCTCGCCCCAGCCAGCCCCTGGGTCAGGTACCCCACCTGTAGGCCAATCCAGTGGCCAGAAAAAAGGTCAATGCTGCCACCTAGAGGGTGATGTGAGCATGGCAGTCAGCATTTCTTGGTCAATGCTGCCACCTAGTGGTTGTTTCTGGCATGGCAGCCAAGTTCCTTAATCTTTGGGCTTGGCCAATGCTGCCACCTAGAGGGCATAGCAGCCAGGTTTCTCAACCTTGAAGCTCAGTGTCAATACCGCCACCTAGAGGCTGACGTGGACATGGCAGTCAGTGTTGGTCTTGCAACTCCATCCTGAGTCCACCATGCCCGCTCCCAGATGATTTGGGAGGAGCTGTCCCCACACAGAGAATTCCTAGGACATCTCCAAGCCCACAAGGCGGGCACTTTCAGCCCAAAGCCACCGGGCTACCTCCTCATCCTCAGCCTCAGGGGCCGGAGCCTTCTCTTTGAGTCCATCGAAGTACTTTCCAGAAACGCCCTCCAGTTCCTCCGCCACAGCCAGGTAGGTGCTGGGCTGGGCCGCCAGCTCGGGGCTCTTGACCAGCAACCAGAAGATAGGCCCTGCAATCAGCCCACAGAGAGTTCAGACCACACATTCAGGGAGGAGGATGCAAAAAGCCCCCTCCACCCCAGCACACAGAGCCCACGGAGGCTAGAAGTTGGCCTGGAGTCCCACAGAGCCCACCTCCAGACTTTTCCTCCTGTGGTTCCCCCCACCAGAAACTCCCTTCCCTAGCCTATCCCTCCAGATACAGGGACCAGTCCCAAAGCCACCTCCCCCAGGAAGCCTCCCTGGCTTTTCCTGGGCAAATGAAACCTCTCCCTCCTTTCCATCAGCCCCGCATACCCACCATACCTCATCTTGCTTTAAAATAACTTTTATTTATTAAACGTTTCCAGTGCCAGCCTCAGCTCAAGATCCTTGACACCTAGCACCCACTCAGTGAATATTTTCCAAGATTACAAATGCTGTTTATAAAGTTCTAAAAGCCCTGGCAGGGTGGCTCAGTTGGTTAGAGCATTGTTCAGATATGCCAAGGTTCAGATATGGGTTTGATCCCTGGTCAGGGCACATACAAGAATCAACCAATGAATGCATAAATAAGTGGAACAAATCATTGTTTCTTTCTCTCTCTCTCTCTCTCTCTCTCTCTCTCTCTCTCCTCCCCTTCCCCTCCCCCATCTCTCTCTCAAAAAAAAAAATCTGAGCTAAGCCTAAGCACTGTGCTGGACCTTTTACAGGAGGTCACATCTAATGTTCCCAGTAACAGTGACGCAGGTACTATTCTGGTTCTCCCTTAGCATGAGGACACTGAGGCTCAGAGAGGTGAAGTCACTCCCCCGGGGTGGCCCAGCTGGTTCTGGGGTGAAGCTGAGGTGACCCTGAACACAGAGGACTCCAGGAATTGGCTCCATGGGTCCCCCCTTCTGAGATATGGCTTCCTCATCAGTCAAACAGGCTCTGGCCTGTTTCCTGGGGCTATGCTGAGGCTGGCAGGAATAGACATACAAAAATGACCTGTTCTTGGTAGCATAAATGAGACAGAGGAGGGAGCAGTCTCTGAGGGTGATGTTAAGTTTATGTCAACTGGACTGGGCTAACAACCAGAGAGCTGGCAAAGCCTCATTTCTGGTTGTATCTGTGAGGCTGTGACCAGAGAGGTGAGCATTTGAATCGATAGACTGAGTCAAGGAAGCCCATGTGGGCAGCATGAAATCAGTTGGGGGCCAGACTAGGTGAAAAAGGTGAGAAAGGGTAAATTTGCTCTTTGCTTGAGCTGTGACGTCCATCTGCTTCTGTGGTCAGACATGGGTGCTCCCGGCCTGCAGACACAGAGTGTGACTACATCACCCATCAGCTTTCCTGGGCCTCCAACATGCTGAGATCAGACTGTGGGAATTCATAAATTGTGAGCCAATCTCTCCTAATACATCTATCTAAATACCTATATGTATATCCCATTAGGAGGTTTCCGAGCCCCAAGCAGGGAGGGCAGGGGTTCAGCAAGGGGCCCTAGGCCAGGAGGACACTTACCAAGAGTGAAGCTGGAGAAGGCAGATTTATGCATGCCCGTGTGTCTGCCCAGTTCTGTCCTGGCCACACCAGGGTGCAGAGCGTTCACGGTCACACCCGTGCCTGGGGAGAGAAGGGAAGGATGGGGCAAGGGGCTGGCGAGACAGACACCAGATTTACTCCTTACCAGGAAGCCTGATGCTGTCCACCCTGAATTCTGGAGCTCCCCTGTTTTCTGCTTTTGAACCCACATCACCCTCTTGCTCTGAAACCTCCACAGCAGGTGGTTTGATCTTGCGAGGCAGCTCTGTCACATGGCTGCCCTGAGCAGAGCCTCGGAACCTGAGTGTGTGTTGAAATCACATGGAGTGCTTGGGAAACCCAGACCACTGGGCCCCACCCCCAGAGGGTCTGAAGCAGAGGGCCAGGGTGGGTCTGACAAGCTCCCAGGTGAGCTAACACTGCTGGCCCACACACCCTCCATGAGAAGCAAGAGCAAAGGGCAGACTTTTCTACATCAGCACTATGGACACTGAGAATGAATCATTCTTTAACCCATTCACTGGCGATGCCAAGCCATATCACCAGCTTCTGTCCAGCAGCTACAAGTAGCAACACCCACCCCCAAAGTGACAGCCAAAACTGTCTCCAGATATTGCCCAATTTCCACTAGCCTGGAACACCAAAGGCTTAGATGCCAGTCCTGGATGGACAAGGAAAATGTGATTGATTAGTGATGCCTGCTTCAGGTACCAAAGGAGGCTGGTTGTGTGTGATTGATTAGTGATGCCTGCTTCGGGCACTGGCACCAAGCCTAGCAATGTATGTTAATTATGATGTCTGCTTCAGGCACCAGAGGAGCCTAGTAGTGTGTGATTGATTAGTGATGCCTGCCTCAGGCACCAGAGAGGCCTGGTTGTGTGTGATCAATTACTGATGCCTGCTTCAGGCACCAGAGGGGAGCCTGGTAGTGTGTCATGCATTGGCTACTCTGTCCTAGAGCCCATGCTTGACTCCCATTAGCCCAGGGTAACAGCAGAACTGTTCCAGCCTCAGAGCCAAAGGAAAAAGATGACACACACACCTTGCAGCCGCCGGCTCAGCTCCTTGGTGAAGAGGACGAGGGCCAGCTTGCTCTGGCAGTAGGCCGCTTTCGTGTCATACTTCCTCTTCTCCCAGTTCAGGTCATCAAAGTCTATGTGCCCGGCAATGTGGGCCAAGGATGAGAGGTTGATGACCCGCGAAGGGGCTGAGGCCTTCAGCTTGTCCAGCAGTAAGTTTGTCAGAAGAAAGTGACCTGGACGAAAGATGACGAGAAAATAACTGTCCTCAAACTCTGACCTGGGGGTGTGCTGAGAACATTACTGTAGCTCACCATCCCCATAACTAGTGGTTCTCAACCATAAGCAATATGCTCCCCCACTCCCCCGCCCCCAGGGAACAACTGGCAATATCTGGAGACAATTTTGGTCATCTCCACTGCAGAGAGTAGGGACACTACTGCCATCTAGTGGGTGGAGGCCAGGGATGCTGCTCAACATCCTACAACACACAGGACAGTCCCTACAACAAGGAATTAATTATCCAGTCCCAAATGTCAAGCCCTATGAGGTCGGCTAGAGAAGAGATTGCCTTTTACCTCCCAAAATCCTTTCCCCACTTGTTATAAAGTAATAGAATTTTTGCCTTATACCCAAGAGGGCCCAATAAAAGACTACTTTTCCAAGACTCCTTTGCAACCAGCTCGGTCATGTAACTGAGTCCCAGCCAATAGATCGTGAATGATAGTAATGTGTGTTAAGGGTTGAGTTCTGTCTTCCCACTCCCCCCAACCCACAAAAATATTTTGAAGTCCAACCCTCCAGAACCTCAGAATGTGGCCTTATTTAGAGATAGGGTCTTACAAAGATAAGTTAAAGTAAGCTCATTAGGGTGAGCCCTAATTCAGTGTGCCCCATCATCCCCTGGCCCATACTAACAGAACTCCAGGTACATCAGAGTAACAATAAATGGACTAACAGAGTGACTGAAGGGCAGACAGACTGAAAGATGGGCAAAGGGATAAAAGGTCAAGAGATACATAGAGGGTCCCAAAGACTTCCTGAATGTCCAGCAAGGAACAGGCACCTCCCTGAGCTGCCGGGTGACCCCACCAGTGGCCACCCAGCCAATCTGGAGAGTGGAAGAGGGCACCCCCTCCCACAGCCTGTATCTGACCCACTAGGGGGACCCCGCTGATGCCCCAGGTGGACACCGAGAACACACAGCCCACAGCCTCACCCAGGTAGTTCACGCCAAGCTGCATCTCGAAGCCATCCTGGGTGGTCCAGTGTGGGCACCGCATAACGGCTGCATTGTTGACCAGCACATGCACCCTCTCCTCCTCTGGAAGACAAGGGTCAGGGCAAATGTGTCAGCTCCAGGCCTGCGCTGGGCTGAACAATGTCCCCAAACATTCGCATCCACTCAAAACCTGTGGATGTGACCTTTCTTTGGAAACTGAGTCTTTGCAGAAGTAATCAAGTAAAGGTGAGGCCGCAGGGTGGGCCTTCATGCAACGTGACTGGTGTCTTCATAAGAAAGGGAAGTGTGGCCCTGGCTGGTGTGGCTCAGTAGACTGAGCACCAACCTGTGAACAGAATGGTCGCCGGTTCGATTCCCAGTCAGGGCACATGCCTGGGTTGCAGGTTAGGTCCTCAGTAGGGGGCGCACAAGAGGCAACCAATTGATTGCACATCGGTGTTTCTCTCTCTCTCTTTCTCCCTCCCTTCCCCTCTCTCTAAAAAATAAATAAACAAAATCTTTTTTTTTAAAGAAAGGGAAGTTTGGGCACAGATACATGTGCACAGGGAGGCTGTGGTGTGATGATGCAAGGAGAGGGAAGAGACACAGCAACAAGCTGAGGAACATCAGGATGGACGGCCACCACCAGGAGCTGGGGAGACAAGGGAGGATTCAACTCACACAGCCCTGCTGACCCCTGATCTCGGACTCCTGGCCACATGCTGGGCGGCTTGAACAACAGAAATCTACCGCCCCCCCTCCCCAGTTCTGGAGGCTGGAAGTCCAAGACCAAGGTGCCAGGGGCTGGTGTGCTCTGAGACCCTGAGGCAGAATCTGTTCCCTGCCTCTACGCTTGGCGGGTAGACAGCTGTGTCGCTCCTGTGTCCTCACATGGCCGTCCCTCTGTGTGTCTGTGTCCTGATCTCCTAAGGACACCAGTCAGACTGGATCAGGACCTGCCCTAACGACCTCATTTTCACTTGATGACCTCGGTAAAGACCCCATCTCTGAGGTCACATCCGACCCATCTTTTTGGGGATGAAACATGAGCAAATCCATTACATTCCCAAAGCGGTTTTTAGGATCCACAAAAATAACTGGTTGGTCCCCTAGCACCTAATAAACAGTCTCTATCTTGTTCCCTATTTGGGGGGAAGCAGGTGTAATGCAGCTGCCAGGAACACAGGCTCGGGAGCCCATGAGATGGGGGTTCAAATCCCTGCCTCCACCCTGGGCAGATCTCAGCCAAGTCACACAGTGCCTCTGTGACTCAGTTTCCCCCTCTGCCATCCTTCCTGAGTGTTATTAATTTGTGTTGTTAAAACAAAGAACAGTAGCTATGTTTTCACAATGGAAGCCTCACAATATGGGGCAGGGGACAGGGGAGGTTAAAAGTGACTTCCTTGGGGTTGGCATGGAATCGATGGTGTTTAGTTCTTTACTGTTCAGGATTTGATTTCCATAAGGAACGTGTATTTCTTTGCATTAGGAATTTAAAAAAAAGTCCACACATGTTTATTTGTTCACTTCTTCTGAGCAACAGCTCCTGGCTCTCCCAGCCTACTTTCCTGCTTTCATTTAACATGGAGCTGGGTAAAGAGGAAGGGACCATCTCCAAGATCTGCAGACACCGTCGCATGGGATGAAAAACACATACAGGAGAACAGATGTTCACGGCAGCCCCAGAAAGGCTGGAAGCCAAACGGCCAACCTGTCAGAGCCACGCAATGGAACACAATGTAGCCACAAGCAAAGAATAAAGAAATATAATGTAGCCACAAGAACAAGAAAGCTCTGCCTATAAGCCTGTGAGAGGATCAGGGAGAAAGAGCTGGGGCAGCACCAAGTGTACAAGAGGCTCAGTCTGCCCCCAAAGACCAAGGGGCAGCAATACTCCTGCCTGCGTAATAAAGGCATAAAATGCCAGACACACAGGCATTGAGCACGTGAGGAAGGTGGCTGGGAGCTAGGGGCAAGCGTGGCAGGGAGACACTTGGTCGCCTCCTCTTTTGTACTTTCTGAACATTTAATACAGTCAACATTATTCCTATTCAAAAAAATTAATACATGAACAGTTCTGAGAATACCAGGTGGGAAGCAAAATGAGTGAGTCACCAATCAAGGTGACAAGTGCAGAAAAACTCAAGCCCGATCCTTGGATCTGCAAAAAGAAACACCTAGCAAAGAAAGCGGGAGGTCCGGGGACTCGGCACTGTGCCCGTGGGTCCCCCAGTGGTGGAGGGATTGTCACAGCCATGCCCAGGTGCTCCCAGGAGGTGCAGCCTGAATCTGACGCATCTGTGTGTCCCTGGTGTCACCAGAGACAGAAAGCCTCAGGAGACAATGGAGGATGAATCACTGGAGGATGAATCACTGTCTCTGCTCCTTTTGTCTGAAGGGTTTGGTTTTTTTAGAGAAGGGAAGGGAGGGAGAAAGGGAAAGAAACATCAATGTGTGGTTGCCTCTCATGCGCCTCCTACTGGAGACTTGGCCTGCAACCCAGGCATGTGCCCCGACTGGGAATCAAACTGGCGACCCTTTGGTTCGAAGTCCCGTGCTCAATCCACTGAGCCACACCAGCCAGGGCTGAACCAGGCCTGGCTTAATTCCAGACTCCTCAGAGCCTGGCCACCTGAGACCTCACCCCACACAGCCAGCACCCTCCCTCCTCCTACCTTCGATGATTTTCGCAGCAAACTCTCGAATGGACTTCAGGGAGGCCAGGTCCAGGTGGCGTGCATTGACTCGGTGATTCAGGGTCTCCCCTCGGATGTCCTTTGCCGCTGCCTCACACTTCTCCATGTCTCGACAGGCCAGGATGATGTTGCCTCCTGGAAGCCCAGGATAGAAAAAAAAATTTTTTTTAAAGACCCACTCCTAAGTATGTATATACCCCATACAAATGAAAACATAAGCCCACACAAAAATGCAGACACACATGTTCACAGCAGCACTATTTACAACAACCTAGGAGTGGAAACAACTCAAGTGTCCATCAATGGATGAACAGATAAAACATGGCATGTCCATGCTGTGGAATATTATTCAGTCATGAAAAAGGAAGGAAGCCCTGCCTCCTGCTGCAACATGGAACATGATGCTGAGGGAAAGAAGCCATACAGCAGGGGACACATTCCGTATCATTCCATTTCTATGAAATGTCCAGAACAGGCAAATCTATGGAAGGAAGATTCATGGTTTTCTATGGAAGGATGGGGAGTACAGGGGAGAGTAAGGGAAGCAAAGGTACATTAGGGGTGATAAAAATGTTCCAACTGAACGTAGCAACAGTTACACGGCTCTGAATATGCTAAAAATCCTTGAAGTATATACTTTGAACAGGTGAAATGCCTGGTATGTAAATGAAATCTCAATACATCTGTAAAAATAGGTGGTTGGGTTTTTTATTATTTTTTTAGAGTTTATTTATTTGTTTTTAGAGAGAGGGGAAGAGAGGCAGAAAGGGAGAGAAACATCAATGTGTGGTTGCCTCTCATGCGCCCCCTACTGGGGACCTGGTCCGCAACCCAGGCATGTGCCCTAGCCTGGGAATCGAACTGGCAACCCTTTGGTTTGAAGGCCAGCACTCAGTCCACTGAGCCACACCAGTCAGGGCAGTTTTTTGTTGTTGTTGTTTTTTAACTAGACAAGTGAGAACAGGAAACAGGGATTGAGGACCATGCAGATCTGTGTGGCTTATCCCGCCCACAGGGGACTCAGCTGCCCCCTATGCATCCCCCTGTCCCTTCAGGTGGCTCAAAACAGACTCATTGCCCACCACCCAATCTGTGTATCCTCCTAGTGACAGCAGGGTCCCCAGGACGGCTGTGGGTGTGTCTGCCAATTTCCCTTCTCACCTGCTCCTGGGAGGAGCACGTGTCCTCCATTAGGGGAACCTCACGTGGCCGGGGGCTGTCCATCACAGTGCTCCCTCACACTGACCGCAGGGGTGGATGCACAGCTTCCTGACGCACATCAAGGCCTGACCCGTTAAGGACCCGTTCCCCTGGCCGCCAACACTCAACAAACCCAGAGAAAGCTTCCGCTGTCCCCTGGGCCTCTCACCTGCCGCGGCCTTCCCTGGAGGACCAGCCCAGACCTTCCAACTGCTGAAACGGAAATCCCTGACTCCGCCCTTTCTCACATCTGACCCCGTGGGAGGCCCCATTCATTCTAACTTCAAAAGTGATCCTCAAGCAACGAACAGGACCCATAGAATTCCTCCAAAACCCCATTTGGACCTTGAGAAAAACATCGAAGCATCCCAAATCCAAGGGCACCTGGAAGAGCCTGAAGCCAGGGCTTGACCCTGACCTCTGACCCAGGCCCGAGCCAGCCGCTAGGACTGAGCCCGCCTGCAGTAGGAGAGAGTGAGGCCAACACAGGGAAAACCCAAAACCTCCACCCCCGCTGAGAGCCTGAACACCCCACCCTCTCCCAGGGCTGAGGCGGGCGTGAGCTGGGTTCCTGCCGCTCGGAACGCAAAGAATCAAACGACCTGGCCTCCCTCGAAAAGACCCCTCGGCTGCCAGCCTCGCCCCCTGAGCCTCGAGCAGAGAACACAGGGCTTCACCTGTTTTTCTTTTTTCCAAAGGCAGCAGACACCCAATATTACATTAGTCTCAGGTGTACAGCATAGCGGTTAGACATTTCAGCACCTTACGAAGTGATCCCCGGGAAGTCTAGTGCCCGCCTGACGCCATACCTTGTTATTACACTATTATTGACCAGACTCCCTCTGCTGGGCTTTCCATCCCCGTGACTGTGCTGTAACTGCCCATTTGCACTACTCAGACCCTTCCCCTCTTCCCCCCTCCGCCCCCCACGCTTCTGCCACCGAGGTCCTTACCTCTCCGCGCCAGCTCCAAAGCGGTCTGCTTCCCGATGCCGGTGTTGGCGCCCGTCACGATGACCGTCTTCCCCTGAATGGTGGCCTTGCTCGGACAGGTCCCGCCGGCGACATAGTCCCTGAAGGCGAGAAAAATCATGGTCAGTTCCATCTGTCTGTCCACTCGCCACAGGTGGCCCCCGCTGCTTCGATCCTGGGCAAATGACCCCTCCGAGCTTGCGTTCCCCCAGCTGAAAGAAAGAAACGATGTGGCATGAATTCCATGAAGCCGATGTCACGTGGCAGGTGGAGGGTGGGGTGCAGCCTGGTGTGCGGAAGCCTCCAGGCTGTGACAAGAGGTATTTTATGAAGACAGACTGTATTCGCTTCCTGTGGCTGCTGTAACAAATGGTTAAAACCAGGCAAGTGTAGTCCTCTCCAGTTCTGCTGGTCAGGCTCCCCAAATGGGTCTCACGGAGCTAAAACAGAGGTATCAGGCTGCGTTCTTTCTCGGGGCTCTTGGGCAGAATCGGTTCCCTCCCCTTTTCCAGTTTTAGTACCCTTCCCCCATTCCTTGGCTCACAGTCCCTTCCTCCTCTTCAAGATTCTGACTCTGACCCTCCTGCCTCCCTCTCATAAGGACCCCTGTGGTGTAAGTCACAAGGATAACCCAAAGTCATCTCCCATCTCAAGGTCCCTAACTCAATGTCGTCTGATTCTGAGCGTTAGGATGTCCACGACCTTGGGGGCTGTGAAGATGCTACGAGATCCATAATAACCAGAAGCCAAAAACTGGACACCACCAAATGTCGCCCATAGGGGACTAGCCAAATACACAATGCCACCTGCACACACGAGAAGAGCACTGTCCAACCTCGTAGCCACCAGCTACCTGAGGCTGTTTAACTTAAATTAATTAAAAATAAATCGCAAGGCCCTTGGCCAGGTAACTCAGTTGGTTGGAGCATCCTCCCAAAAAGTCAAGGTTTCAGGTTCACTCCCCAGTCAGGGCAGATGCAAGAATCAACCAATGAATGCATCAATAAATGGAACGACAAATCAGTGTTTCTCTCTCTCTCTCCCTCCCTCTCTCTCCCCTTTATCTCTCTCGGGGAAAAAAAAAAAGGAATAAAAAAATTAATAAATAAATAAATAGCCATATTCCCCTCTACCAGGCACTGTTGTTGTTGGGGTTTTTTTTTTTCATTTTTATTATATTGTTTAGCTTTTTTGGAATTGAAAGTCAACAGTATGAATAAAAATAAAAACAGTGACCAATGAATTTTATTATAATTATTTTATATTATTTATTCCATTTTCTAGAGCTTTCCACAAAAAAGCTAGTTCATATTTCAGAGCAGTAGTTTAATGAATGAATAAATATAAAGAACAAGGTACCAGTTAACTAGGTGAAAAAGACAGTATCAGATCAGAAGGAACAAGTCCAAAATGAAGCCTCATCATAGAGCAGATAAATGAACCCAAAGGTAATTATTCAAACAGACTTACAGTCTATCCTCCATGCTCTTTAAAAATAATAATAATTCAATTCCAATTACTTTCTGGTCGAACTCCCAGTCAGTCTCTTTTCTTGTATAACGAATAAAATTACATATGACTAATCCTTTTTTTTGTTAATTGTTGTAAGAACACTTTGCATATTGTTAACTGGAAGCATAACATAAGCACGCTCTTGGTGCTCAGTAGCCACATGTGACACTATGCACAGCACGGACAAAAACACTTCCATTAACACAGAAATCTCTACCGAACAGCGCTGCTATAGAACATTTGCTAGCTGTTTTTTTTAAGTGAATTCACCTAGGAAAGATAAAAACTATGTATACAACCCATGCAACATGAGCTTTACATTTGCCGAGTTGGACAATTCTATTTGTTTCTGTAATTTCGGATAAGAAAGCTTAGGTGGCATATATTTTCCTTGCTCCCGGGCCAGCCGGGGACATAGGGGTAATTTCTCATTAAATATTTGCTGAATGAATTAATTCATCACTTAAAAGGCCGGAAGCAACTAGATCAAAATGTTTACAAGGGCCCGGAACCGCCCCTTCCTCGGGGTGACCTTGGCGGTGACCTGCCATCGCGGGGCTCAGGTTTGTCCTCACGTTCTCTGGGGTGAGCTGGTGGGCGAAGGGTTGGTGGTCTCCACCCGGCCTTGCCTCCCTTGGCTGCCGACCGGGGTCCAGCGCACACTCACCGGAGCAGCACAGCGCCACCCACCGCGGTGCCCAGCAGCGACGCCGGCACAAGGTAGCGGTTCATGACGGGCCGGAGCGGGACCCAGCGGGAGGCCGCCCGCCGATCAGCCGCCCGCAGATCAGCCGCCTTAGTGGCTCCAAGGAACCTGGGGCCTGAGATCCACGTGGGGAAGAGCAATCGCGGTTTAAACAGTGGCTTCCTGAAAGGGGCGGGGCGGTACACTAACGGGGCGGAGCTTCCAGGACCGGACCTATGGGGATGGGTCTTGAGCGCTACTACTTCTGGGAATGGTAGTTTACTGGTCTGGGGGCGTGGCCACATCTAGGGGCGGGGTTGGGGCGGGGCCTACGCGCTGTTGGAATTACGTCACACTAGTTCTGCTGCACCCGGCAACTCAGTTCTGCACTGAAACCAGAATTCCAGTCCTGCAGCGGCCGCTTCGGGACTGTTACTCTAGGGGTCTTTCAACTCTATCAGCCTGTTCCCTCGTCCAAAAATGTGTACACGCCCTGCCCTGTGTGGCTTAGTTGGTTGGAGCGACCTCTGGTAGACTGAAAGGTGGTGGGTTTGATTCCCGGTCAGGGCAGCTGCCTGGGTTGCCTGTTCGCCCCGATCGGGGCGAGTGTGAGAGGCAACAGATCAATGTTTCTCACATCGATGTTTTTCTCCCTCTCCCCCTCCCTTCCCTGCTCTCTAAAAAGAAATAATAATTATTTAAATACTGCCTTCCTCATAGACTTTATGAATGAATTTTAGAATTCCGATGCTCAGAAACCAGACCTACTAGCCTACGGTTCGGCACTCCTGGGTCTGGGAGAGGAGGAGCCGAGGGTCTGGACCCCTGCATCTGAGGGAGGAGGGGCTGGGTGCCTGGACCCCCGGGTATGAGGGAGGAGGGGCTGGGGGCTGGACTCCTGGGTCTGAGGGGGAAGGGACTGGGGGCTGGACGCCTGGGTCTGAGGGAGGAGAGCTGGATGTTTTGACTCAGGGATCGAAGGGACCATGTAGGCAAACAGTAAGGACCAGTGCTGTATGATTCCAATTATATGACACTGCATTAAAGACAATACTATATGAAAGAATGAACATTAGTGGTTGGGGCAGAAGAAATGGGGGAAGTGATTTCTGGAAAGGGAACTTTTGTGGGTTTTGAAAATAGTCTCTGTCTTCATCCTGCTGGTGGTTATATGCCTGACTACATACATTTATCAAATCTCATCAGAGCATTCACTTAAAAATAGTGAATGTTACTCTCACTGGTGTGGCTCAGTAGATTGAGCACTGGCCTGCAAACCAAAAGGTCACTGGTTTGATTCCCAGTCAGGGCACATGCCTGGGTTGCAGGCCAGGTCCCCAGTAGGGGGCATGCAAGAGGCAACCACTCACTGATGTTTCTCTCCCTCTCTTTCTCCCTCCCTTCCCTCTCTCTAAAAATAAAACCTTTTTTTAAATAGTGAGCAAAATCTTTTTAAAAATAAAATAAAATAAAAAATAGTGAATGTTATTGCATGTAAATTGTACTGTGATAAAGCTGACTAAAAAGAAAAACAACACTCTAGAGATTTTTATAATTTTGTTTTGGAAATTATTTGGCCACAATACTTTGTTTAATTTATGATTGATGGTGTTAGTCAGCCACCAACAGGCATACTTGAGAATTCTTTGAAGTGAGAAATATCTAACTGATAAGTTGTTTTTAACCATCCCAAGAGGTTTTTGAATATTGGCTTGGACAATAAAGTTGATGCAGTGTTTTGTTTCCCAGCTATGGGGTGAAATGTGTTCACTTTGGTTCTAGAACTTTTATAGCTTTGAGCTAAAGATTTTTTTTTCTTGGAGAAGTTTGTCTTATTTCTGAGTGCCCTGGAAAGCCCAAAGGGAACACAACAGCCTTGGATCCAGGATCTATAATCAGAAACTCAGCCTAGGAATAAGGGGAGACTTCCCAGAGAAAGGAGAACCTGAATAGGGTTTTGAAGTATGAGTAGGAGTTCCTCAAATGGGCCAAGTAGAGAGGTGGAATAGCATATGCAAAAGCTAGGAGTCATGAGGAATTTGCTTTGGGAGTGACCAGTGTTTGAGATGGTAGAAGGATGGCTCAGACAGGGAGGCAACTGGCAAGACATGTGACTGAAGAGAAAAAAAAAATTTTTAAAGCAAGAATACCAGATCCTATGTATTAACTACCTAGTATGTGTCAAGCATTTAATCTACACAACAAACCAAAGAACAGTTTTGCTGCTGTGGATGTAGGAGGGTGGCTGGGTCTGGCAAGAGGCCTCTCCCCTATCTGGGGCTGTGGGAACTCAGGGATCCTGGGCCATGGAGGGGCAAGACCAAGGAAAGGACAAGGTGCCATGGAGGTTATGCTAAGGAACTCCAGACATGGCCCCTGACCAGGTAGTTCAGTTGGTTAGAGTGTTATCCCCATATGCCAAGGTTGTAGGTTTGATCCCCAGTGAGGGCACCTATGAGAATCAACCAATGAATGCATAAATGAGTGGAAAAACAAACTAATGTTTCTCTCTCTCCTTTCAGCTCTCTCTAAAATCAATAAATTTTTTAAAAAATTAAAACCCCAGACATGGCTAAACAGATCTTGTTTCCAATTACTGATCCACCTCTCCTCAGATGTGTATGTTGATGAGTGACTTCCCTTCTCTCAACTTCTGGCTCCTCTTACCCACCAAAATGACAAAGAGTTGATCTCCTTAATATGTAAAGAGTTTTCATGAATCAATAATAAAAAAAGTTCACCCCCAACAGGGAGAGGGGAGCACAGGCAAAGGGTATGATGGGCAATTTGCAAAGAAAATTAGCAAACATAATGAAACTCCTTCAACTTACTGGCAATCAAAGATACGTTTGTTAAGATAGTAACAACATATTTTTCACCTATCAGATTGGCAGATCGAAACAATAATAATACTGAGTGTGAACAAGGATGTGGAAAAACAGGTACTCGTCCCTGTCAATGGGAGTGTCAACTAGCACAGCCTTCCTAAAAGGCCATTCCAACACAAGGCAACACTATCTGTGTATATCTTTGACCCAGCCTTCCCCTTGGAAGAACTTATGCAACTAATGGGTCATTGGGAAAGAAACAGATAAGAAAATGTTCCTCAGAGCCCTGTCTCTCTGTCATAGAGACATACTAGACGCAGATGCAATCCACTTCATTGTCTGTCAGTAGGAGAGTGGTCCTACTCTCTCCTATTCCCACCCCAATGCTCCTTCTATGACAGATGTTTAATGAGCACCTGCTGTGTCCCAGGCATTGAACTCGGCACTGGGAATTCGGCCTAGAGACACACAGGGTCCTTGTCCTCCTCACAGATCCCCTGATGCAGATGGTAAAAGTTCATGTGTCTGTGTACGTGTTTCAGTAAGGACTCTGTCTACAACTTTATCAGGCTCAAATGTTTAAGAATATTCATAAGTTCCTTCCTTAAGCGCCAATACAGCTGGGGGCAAGGGGAGAAGGCTGACTCTGTTTTTGAAGTTTATATAGTAACATGCATATTTTTATATTTTCTTATAATTTTTTATTGGTTGATTTTAGGGGAAGAGAGAAAGAGATCGATTTGTTCACTTATTATGATTGATGCATTCATTGGTTGATTCTTGGATGTGCCCTGATTGAGGGTGGAACTTGCAACCTTGGTGTATCAGGATGACACTCTAACCAACTGAGATACCCAGCCAGGGAACGTGCATATTTTTAGAGTAAAAGAAGGGACACTGTAATATTATCTGTGGAGTGTCTGCCAGGGCTAAAAACATGGGCACCCACCAGCCAGGGCTAAAAACAAGGACGATTTTTAAAAATAAAAAACCCTGCCCTGGCTGGTGTGGCTCAGTGGACTGAGCACCAGACTGCAAACCTAAGGATAACTAGTTCAATTCCCAGTCAGGGCACATGCCTGGGTTGTGGGCTAAGCCCCCAGTCGGGGGTATGCAAGAGCCAGCCACACATTGATGTTTCTCTTTCTCTCTTTCTCCCTCCCTTCCACTTTCTAAAAATAAATACATAAAGTCTTTTTAAAAATAAGTAAAAATTTAAACCCCAGGTGAAGGGTTCAAATGCTGACTCTCTCAATCTTGAATACAGCATTCACTCTCTGACCATTTTTCTCCTAATAGCACCTCCCTTTCGGGCAGGGCTCAGCAAACGTTCTGTGCAAAGGGCCAGAAAGCAGGAGAGCATCCTCGGACCATAAGCAAACAAACAAGCACGACTGTCTTCCAATAAAACTTTACTCCCGAAAACAAGGGGAGGGCCATGGTCTGCTGGCCCCTGTCACCGAGTTTGGAAGGTTGACATGCAACAAAGACCTAACCCACAGTGAGGGCCAGAGCAGCGCTGGCTGTTCCTGTTATTTTAAGGAGAACAATTCACACTAAGGAACTCCCACCTGATTCCCAGACACACCCAAAATGTTTAGAATCTCTCCTTGGACTCCAGGTAGGCTATGCATGTTTATCATTGCAGATGTGCTTAATAAATTCTTGCCCTGGCTGGTGTGGCTCAGTGGATTGAGTGCCAGCCTGCAAACCCAAAGGTCACTGGTTCAATTCCTGGTCAGGGCATGCATGTGCCTGGGTTGCCCCAATTGGGCCAGGTCCCCAACTGGGGGCATGTGAGAGGCAATGGATCTCTCACACATGGATGAGTCTCTCCCTCTCTCCCTCCCCTCCCCTCTCTCTAAAATAAATAAATAAAGTCTTTTTTAAATAAAACATTAATTCCTAAGTGCCGGGTGCTGTCCCAGGTGCTGAGAGGATTCTCCCACAATGCCCTCTGCTTTCTCCATCTGGAGGCTTAAGGCACCCAATTGTCTGTCTGTCTGTCTGTCTCTCTCTCTCTCTCCCCCTCCCTCCCTCTCTGAAAATCTGTTGTTTTTAGAAAATATATAAAGCTTTTAGAGGTCAAGGGATAGCAAATCTGCAATGACTCAAACAGTTGAGAGAAAAGGAGTGTGTGAGGGAGAGACAGAGACAGAGAGAAGGATAAAGCAAAAGTCGTTATGCTCGCTGCTAACCTCAGGCTAATCTCTGGCTTTAGTACATGGGAATTTTTCTTTGCATTCTTTCGCAACGTTTCTAAAGTCCGAAATGAATTCAAACTTGATCAATGCAACATGTAGGAACCTCGAAAATGCTCCGGCGTCCCCTAGCACACAATTC